TCTAATGTACCAACCAAATCCATCCCACCAGCAGAACCAGGCATCACATCCATCAACTCAGCTCAGATCAGCTGACTTCATGTAAAAAGACCTTTAAGAGGCTGAAATGAGTTTTGGAGGCACCGGGCTTGTGAAACATCAGGACCACCAGCCTGGAGGTGTTCTTAAATAAAAGTTAATAGTTTAAACATGATTAACGTTTAAAATTCACTGTAACTGCCTTCGATTTAGTCCCAAACTGAAGTTTTAGCTTTTTGTTTATTTGATTCGATCGTGTTTATGTAAATAAAACCCAACTAGGGACCAGAGTTGAAAACCGTTTCTGACAGAAAATACAAAAACTATTTCATTAGTTTGAGTTAAAATGAGATGAAATCCATCAAACCTTCACAATAAAAAAGCTACAAACTCAACATATTAAACTCTTTAAAGGTCTGATTATTTTCACTTGCTGCTCATTTAAATGGTTTTTGATTTAAATAAAGAATGACTCTGGAGTCGATGAGAGAAAATGCTTCCATAGATGGTTGAGGATCCATCCAGACCACAGCTGGGCTTTACGATGGCCCAGTGAAACCAGTTTACCCAGTGAGCTGCAGCAGAGGAGGTCACATGAGTGGAAACTCTGGGAGGTTTTAAAGTGAGGTGAAGTTCAGCTGGACCTCCTCACAAAGAAACGCCACGACAACAGAACCAGACCCTCACTGAGCTCCAGACTCCAAACACGGTGAGTTCAGCATTTACTACATTACCCATCAACCTCGGAGGCTGCAGCGGAGGGAACAGGTGAAATGATCCTAAATTATGATGTTTATGCTACAAAATCAGGAAAATAAAATGTTTTCAAAAGACCTCCAGCTCCTCTCAGGAACTGCTGAAGAGAAATTGGGCATAAGAAGAACAGTGGTTCGTTTTTCACGCTTCTGGATCCGAACTTGAACCGGACCAGTTAGCGTCGCGTTTACTTTAATGGAAATCTGAGTTCTCCTTCCTCATACGGAGGAGAGACTCCAGGAAGATGAATGACCCGACCGTGTCAGAACCGGCCGGTCGTCTCTCACCAGAACCGGACCAGATGAAATCAGCTGTTGGTATTCTACAGCCCACAGACGCCAGGCGGGGCGGCGGCGTTTTAATCCAACTCAACGCAAATCTTTGTTCTGATTTTGGACAAAAGGCAGAAAAGCTTCAGCTCGCTATCCAGAAACAGAACATCTGATGCGATCGGTGTTTACAGGCAGGGGTGGTGGGTGGGTATTACCGGGATACCCCCCCCCAGCAGCTGTTGGTGCTGACAGCCGAGGTGATTCACCGAGGTAAACCGGCTTTAGTCGGAACATGACTGACATTCCAGTTCGTCAACATCATGTTTCCCTTTGGGATTCAAACAGATCCATCTAATCTGGGTTTAACTTTAATCTCTGTTAGTAAAAGTTCAACATGAAACCCATCAGGTTCAGAATCAAGTCAGAACAAAGCTGCAGTCCCCAGAGCACCAGAACTTCTGGGTTTTTGCAGAGGATCACAGCGTAGGGAGACAGTTCACCTGTGCTGGCCACTGACCCACGTGCTCAAGTCACCAGCCTGTTCAGTAGAGATGCTCCAATCAGATCACAGGAATTTCACGAGAAAAAAAATGTAACAAGCATGCCTGCAGGGGCGGCGCCGGCATTCTTTACCTGCAGTAGCTTTACCGTCACACGTCCACTTTTATGTAAAACATCCACATGTACATGTCACTTCTGCAAGCGGACTCGGAGCCTCGACAAGATGATGCATTTTAGCCTGTATTTCTATATATTCTGCAGACACTGTGCGACTTTTTTGTTTGTAGCACTCGGTTTCAGCTCACACCGTACGTCAGGAAGCAACACGTCGGACCTAAAAATGTGCTAAAAATAGCAGTTTTTACAACACGTCTGACTTTTTACTGCGTTGTTATTGACGTCTGTTGTCCCTCGGGATCGCTGCAGGAGGACACGAGTATTTATGAGGAAAACGAAAGAAAGTAAATAAATGTTTTGTGATCAGTGTAATTTGACATAACCACGGCAAACATGCCTTCTCAACAAATTGAAACGGACGTGTGTTAATAGGGAAAGATGGCGAGCCATGTTTGCGCATGCGCCGTGAGCGGTTCTGGTGCTGTTTGGGCCGCAGCCGCTTGCATTTGTTTACTGTGAAGTAAAGTTGAAGTGCTGAAGTTCTGAAAACTAATTTTGAATAAAACTTGAAGAATAACTGGTAATTGCTCATTTCAAGAGGTCTTACATATTTTATAACATGCTGTTTGATATAATGGTTTACAAACACTAAAGGGTCATTTATTAGAGTACTCGATTACAAAAATATTCGATAGCTGCAGCCCTAATTCCATCCATCCATTTTCATCCGCTAATCCGGAGTCGGGTCGCGGGGGCAGCAGCCTAAGGCGAGAGGCCCAGACTTCCCTCTCCCCAATCACTTGGGCCAGCTCCTCCGGGGGAATCCCAAGGCGTTCCCTGGCCAGGTGAGAGACATAGTCCCTCCACCGTGTCCTGGGTCTACCTTTAGGTCTCCTCCCGGTTGGACGTGCCCGGAAAACCTCACCAGGGAGGCGTCCAGGAGGCATCCTGACCAGATGCCCGAGCCACCTCAACTGGCTCCTCTCGATGTGGAGGAGCAACGGGTCTACTCTAAGCCCCTCCCGGATGACCGAGCTTCTCACCCTAGCTCTAAGGGAGAACCCAGACACCCTGCAGAGAAAACTCATTTCAGCCGCTTGTATCCACGATCTCGTTCTTTCGGTCACTACCCAAAGCTCATGACCATAGGCGAGGGTGGGAACGTAGATCGACCAGTAAATCGAGAGCTTCGCCTTCTGACTCAGCTCTCTCTTCACCACGACAGACCGGTACAACGCCCGCATCACTGCAGACGCAGCACCAATCGCCTATCGATCTCACGCTCCAGCTTTCCCTCACTCGTGAACAAGACCCCGAGATACTTAAACTCCTCCACTTGGGGCAGGACCTCATCCCTGACCCGGAGAAGACATTCTACCATTTTCCGAATCAGTACAATTCCACAAAGGTAAATGTATTCATGTGGTCATAAGTAAAAGTTATCATCTGTTCTTTACGCCGTGAGAAACCGTGCACTTCTGGAGTGACTAAATTATCGTTACTCCTTTTAAATGTAACAGTTACGGGCTGCACCTGCAGCCGGGTAGCTGCCCTGGCCCGTGGTTAACCGTAAACTGTCCCTCCAGACCCCCTTCCCGCCCACAAGGGAACCCCAGGACAAACAGCAACTGCTTTACCAGTGGCTAATGGGGATCTTAATAAAAAACAAACAAAACACACAGGGAACCTTTGCTCCTGCTCTATCGACGCTTTTCCGCCTGCTCTTTGAACATCATCCTGACGCAGAACCAAAGTCCGCTCGTTACAACATCCTAAAAACAACGTTAGTGGGATGAGAGCTGAAATGTCCATTAGGACCTGTTGCGTAACGGTTTGCCCGGCATCCCAGCGCATCCTGGGGCCACACTTTCCCACGCTCCCAGGCTGCGCATTTTCCTAACCGCTTCTTTTTTTTAGTTAATTTATTTGATCATGTGACAAGCTCTTCTTCTGTGGTTTTGATAGTGGCGCTCTTGTGCCCACTAGTAGCAAAAACATGTATTGCACCCCCGCACAGCAGAAGAACATGAGCTCAGCTTGCTGTTAGCCAGGAAACTATTCTACCCGGTTATAACAATAACGACAATTAACCGGTTACCTGTTTACATCCCTAATCTCTAGTGTTCAGGGTGAGGAACTGGACACCATGTAAACCGTGGTTTGCTGTTTGTTATGTTTTTATGTTACCTATGTCTAGATTATACACGTATATTTGGATTTACTATATTTTATACAAGTGTGAAGTGAAACCAAATGAGAGATTTTAAATGTTTTCATTGGCTGTTGGCCTCCGTGACCCCACCTTCAGCTCCTGATGACAGCGGTTAGTAGGCATCATTGGCTCAGGGCTCGGTTCTTGGTCCCCTTCTCCTCATCTACATGCTACACCTTGGGCACATCATTCGCCATCGTGGACTCCAATTTCACTGCTATGCTGATGACAGCCAACTCTACCCATCTAGAAAAAACATCACCTCCACTACCGTCTCCACTAGAACAAACTGCCTCAATGCTCTAAAATTCTGGATGTCTACAAACTTTCTCAAGCTCAGCTACAGTAAACCTGAGTTAATCCTAACTGGACCCAAATCCCTTCTCTCAGTAGCCTACTCTATGGTCTTCCATCCACACACATAAAAACTTCATGTTCAAAACTCAGCTGCACGGCTCCTCACTCACACACCTAACCGCGGTCCTACAAAGCCTTTATTGGCTTCCCATTCAGCAGCGCATTCACTTCAAGATCTTACTCATCACCTACAAGGCCCTCAATAATCTTGCCCTTTGTTATCTATCCTCCCTTCTCGCTGTCTCAGATCTTCTGCTTCCAGTCTCCCTCTCTCACACAATAACTTCAAAACATCTCACCACTGGGGACAGAGCTTTGTCTGTGGCTGCTCCCACCCCAAACATATTCTTACTGCTGATTCACTTCAGAAACTCAAAAATCTGTCTCCTTCTCTCTGTTTGTAAAGGGTCTTTAAGTAGTGGTTAAAACCTATGCACTACTATTAATATTATTATTATTATTATATTACGGCCCAGCTGATGTAAAACCATGAAGAGCGAGTTAATGAGATCAGGAGCTGAGTGCCTTCATATCAGGACCCAAATCCTCATCGTTGCAGAAACACGATACAAATAAAGACATTTTGAAAAGTCTACTGTCGCATGTTTCATGCATCAATTATTCTTTACTTTACAATATTTTTTTAAAACGGCGCCAAAGGAGCTCAGATAAACATCAACCCCGTGGGACAAAACCCCACAGCCTTCATTACACCTGGACATTTAAGGGGTTAAAGCAGAAACAGAGGTTTGAAACCTGTCTCAGTTTTATTATCTGTGATTTATTTCTATGAAACATGTTTGTTCTGATAAAATGGAGTTGGTGTAAACAGCTTCGGACTACCACCGCGGGGGTGTTTCTGCTCCTGGAAGGACTACTACTAGCTGCCTTATTATGGGATGTTCATCTTTCCCAGAAGGTGGTGCTCCGATCACCTCACTGCCCTCTGATTAAATCCATCTTCATTTCCTCAGATGTCTCGATTCCTGGACATGGATGAGTTTGGAGAAGCTGCTCGATTCCTCCGGCTCACCAACCTGGAGCAGCTGGCAGCCAAGGCTCAGGCCTTCGATGGTGAGCCTACTGAAAGTCTCCTTTAGCTAAGTCAGACCAGACCAGTTACCTTCTGGAACCTGTGATGTTCTGCTGTGGTGTCTGGAAACAAGTCCGCCTCTGAGGTGGATCAGAACTGTTGGTCCAGAACACACAGGACACTGGAATGGACCGAGACGTGAGAGGGTGGTGATGGAGGGAAACAAAACCTGCGTGATTCTGTTAGCATCAGTATTAGCATCCTCCCGCTGGGGGAGCTTGGTGCTATGGGTGAAGCTGCTCTTTGAGCTACGACTCAAAGCGTCGTCACATCCAACTGTAGAACTTCCTCTTTTTGACTTTGAGAGCAGATTGTTCACTAACCCTTTAGCCAGTACTAGGGTAGTCACTGTGTGAAAATTTAACCTCACGGTTATTGAGACCAAAATTATCACGGTTTTCGGTATTATCGTGGTATTTTTTTAAACGTGTTACATTTTCAGACAATTAAATAAACCCTGTATGTCAGGAAAATATTGTCCTCAGTTTGTGTCTAAATTTAGCCTAAAATATGTTATTTTGTAATTATGTTGTTTATTTGTTTACATTTTTCTCCTTTAGTCTTTAAAATACCAATATTTGCCCATAACTCCTTATTTTATGTCTGTTTGATGTCATCATTTTAAAAATATTAGACCAGATGATACTCAGTACTCGAGTAGCCTTCTAATCAGATACTTTTTTACCCTTACTTGAGTAATAAACCCTATATCAGGAAAATATTGTCCTCGGTTTGTGTCCTTCCAGTGAGCTTTGCAGATGTGGGAAAATGTCATCAGGCAGTAATCATTGTTAAATTCATAATTATTCTCGGAGAGAGACCAACTCTTATCTGCCCCTGGGAGCCCCGTAATGCATAGCGTCATTTCAACATGGCGGTGTCCGCGACACGGTTTATATGCAGGTAGCGGCGCTGCGGCTGCTTTATATAGCGACTCGTTGCATTCTCCCTCAATCCAAATCCTCGGATCACGCATTTTAGCTAAAACGCTAACGTTAGCTTGTTGACTGTAGAGTTGTGGGTGATGGTCACGCAGATGTGTCATGAGATTTGAAGCGTTGCTGCCTTTCACAGACACTTTTTCTGCACGTGCTGCAAACAGGACAGCCGTCTTCTATCAGCTGTCCCTCGGCATTCTTCACATATCCAAAAGATGCCCGTACTTCCCACTTTGTCTTCTTTGAGGGATAATAAATGTCCTGAGTGCTGCCGTCTCCTCCTTTGGCCATTATTTCAGCTTTAGCTTCAAGAAAGTTTTGGTTGTAAACAACAAAGTGCGCATGTGCCGCCGGCAACTTCAGCAGATGATACGGTGGCTGGTAAGGGTCACCGCGCCTACACCGCAGCCACGCTAACCCACCGAGATAATATATGTTTTAAAAACAAGACAGTTATTATTGTCAACTTTTTTACCGGGGTTTACCGCTACACCGGTTACCGTGACAACCCTAGTCAGTACCATGCAACATGAGCACTAACCTGTGGTTAGTGGTAATAATGTGTGGCTGTTGACACCAGGAGGCTTTCTATTTAAGCTAACCTCTGATTTGACTCTTTCAGGTACAAAACGCGTCTGGATGCCAGATGAAGCTGAAGCCTACATCGAGGTGGAGATCAGAGAACTGAACGGAGACAAGACCACCGCGGAGACGAAGGATGGACGGGTCGGTTAGCCGCGTCTCTGCACGTCAGATATTTTGTGTTGCTTGGATCAGACTGACACCAACCTTAAGACGAACCAGTCATCAGAACACAAACCCCATCAAGCTTCAGCTGATAAACCAGAGACACAATTCCATGTTCAAGCTTTCCTTAAAATAAAGATAGATTTTAGAGACCTTTATGCTGATTTTTAGGGTCAGTTAGGGTCAGGGGTGAAACCCAAACAGAGAAGTAACAACAGCAGAAGGGTTGAAATAGCAGTAGGTTAAGGCTGAAGAATCAGGGAGGAGTTTGATTTCCAGATGGATTCGTGTCAGACTAACAGATCTGGTGGGTTTCCCAATTTAACTCCGCCTCTTTGATGCCGTTTAGTTTCTGGTAGTGAAAGAAGACGACCTGCAGCCCATGAACCCTCCAAAGTTCGACATGATCGAGGACATGGCCATGCTGACCCACCTGAACGAAGCTTCGGTTCTCTTCAACCTCCGGAGGAGATACAACATGTGGATGATCTATGTCGGTAAACCAGATGACCTAATCTACCCAAACCGGGTGAGCGATGATGAAGTCTCATCTCCGGTGTGGTTTCTGTCGGTTTCTGGGTTAGACGTACTCGGGTTTGTTCTGCGTGGCGGTGAATCCCTACAAGCTGCTGCCGGTTTACTCCTCCAATGTGGTGAACGCCTACAAGGGGAGGCGCCGTGCAGACATGCCGCCTCACATCTACGCCATCGCCGACAACGCCTACACCGATCTGCTCAAGAGTGGGTGAACTTTGACCTCCAACAGTAACTTCCTGTTTCCTTTAGAACAGTGCTTCTCAAGCCATGTCCTCAGCACCCGCCTGTCCTGCATCTTTCTGTTTCTAACAGCACTGCTTCTCTGCCGCCGCACACCTGACTTAAATGAATGAGTGATTAACAGGCTTCTACAGCACTTGATGTCATCCTAAGGGGACAATGCAAATATGTGAACCAGGTGTGCTGTAGCAGAGACATCTAAATATTTCCCTAAAAAGTCCACCTTCATATCTTCACTTGTCTTTGCTTTGGCATAAATTCATAGTTTAGTCTCAGAAGAGGTTTTTGGGGTTTTGTCTGACCTGCTTCCACCTGAACAACAAGTCTGTTGGGTCCATTTTTCTGGATGTCTTCCCGCTTGTCTCTGGTTTGATCAGAATGTCCTCATCATAACTCCGAAACACCAGAAAGTCTAGACTGCGACCCAGAGGACTAAAGTCTGTGGGACTATCTGAGTGACATTATCCTGTTTTATAAAACAAAGCTGCAAAGCTGAGGCGCCATCTGGGAGCCTTAGAGATGGTCTGATCATAGCGGCAATGAAGCGCAATCCTTTATACAAAAGATTAGGCGATGGCGGTATAAAGGAGGTATGGGGGCAGCCTCGGCGCTGCCGCTGAAGTTTTCTCACAAGCCGCTCCTAAAGTTGTCTGTCCTCCACAGTCCCCGTGTGATCTAACCTCCAGCTCTAACGGAGAAGCTCCTGGAGCTCCGCGTCGCTCCAGTTTATCATCTCAGCCGGTTCTGATCAAAACTGAAATTTTCTGCCCGTCTTTACTTTCATTTTCAATACTGTAGCTAGCCGGAGCTCGGCAGTAACTCCCCATGTGATCATGACACCACCCTCTGTTGTGCCGAGGCGCGGTTTACGAACTTTAACTAATTTGCTGCCAGCCGTTTCCTGATCGGTAAAGCCCTTCGCTGCCAGAGTTTCTTGCCGTTTAAACTGTTTAAGAATCACAGAACGTTGCGCGCTAGGATGACGTTGACGCCAAAACAACCAAAACAAGGCGGAGACTGACCTCTTACATCAGGAAGAATCTGCGCGTTTGGAGCGTTATCCGTTCTTTCATAATCCGTTGTTGAATTGTGATCGGCAGAAGCTTTTCCGGTTCGCGTCTCACTTTTTTTACAGCAGCGGCCCAAAACGATCTCCTAACACATGGATGTTCTGCTTCCTGATCACGTGACGTGTGACGTATGCCAATGAAGATCGGCTTTAGAGCTGAGATGTTTGTTCTCACGGTGCGGGGGCTCGTCCGACGCCCACACAGTAAAAACATGCAAATGATGACTTTAGTCGTCACTGGCAGTGAACGAGTTTACTCTGAAAGTTTATTTACTTGATTTTATTTCCAACAGATCGTGAGAACCAGTCGATGCTCATCACGTAAGTTGGAAAGCCTCCAATATTAAAACCTAAGAATTGTATTATTAAATTAACCATTTCATCATAATGACTTCATGTTTAGTTGTAATTTTTCTTACATTTTTTCCGTCTCCTCACCTCCTAAGCGGCGAGTCAGGAGCAGGAAAAACGGTCAACACCAAGAGAGTGATCCAGTACTTTGCCATCGTTGCTGCTTTGGGAGAAAATGTGAAAAAAGTTGTGAGTTTCGTTCTCTGAAGACTCTTTGATTTAGTGAGTCTAAAATGTTTTTGACAGGAAGCCGTTTGTTTCAGGGTTCTTTAGAGGATCAGATCATCGAAGCCAATCCAGCCATGGAGGCATTCGGGAATGCCAAAACCATTCGGAATGACAACTCCTCTCGCTTTGTGAGTAGAGCTGATCTAACGCTGGAGTTTAAGAGGGTTCAGACTCAGTCTTTATTAACATTTTATTTGACGGTGTTTTTCAGGGAAAGTTCATCAGAATTCATTTTGGTCCGACTGGGAGGCTAGCATCAGCTGATGTTGACATCTGTGAGTTGAAATAAGCAACTAGAAAGTTTGTGATGAACGAAGTTCTTTTTCTACAACATGCTCAACCTGTTTTCAGCAATGGCTGAGCACAGATTACAGAGTCTGTAATAATCTAAAGATTTAAGACAATCTGGAAATGAGGCATCAGCTGTCTGACTCGGAACAAGAAAGTCTACTTTTCCTGCAAATTTGTTGACATTTATTAACCCTCCCACTGTCTTCATGGGTGACCCCGCGAGGAAAGTTGACCATTGAGCAGGACTAACGGTTTATTCCTTGGGTCCACGTGGCAGGGGTGAGGAGTGAGCACCACCTCACCCCTGCCACGTGGACCTCAAGGGATAAACCATCCATCCTGCTCAATGGTCAACTTTCCTCGCGGGGTCACCCATGAAGACAGTGGGAGGGTTACGCCAGGGACACACTGGCCGCGGAAGCGCCGCAAAAATGGGACCGCCTTCATTCGGCGCCCTTGTTAAGCTATTCTATAGACCACATGGGCCGCCGAAGCGTCGCAAATCGCCTCGCGCCGGCGCTCCACCCCGCGCCGTGCAGCGATCATTTCGGCGTTGGCTCTATATTTTTCGCGTGCCGCGGGTGAATCGCGTCAATTCTGGCAGGAAGTCAAACGTAGACATAAGAGGCAGGCCGGTAAAGTTAACAAAATAAAGCATTTCAAAATAAAATTCCGCAATAGTCAAATGTGTTCGTAAACAGACACTGCAGAAAAACCACACGAACACACACACATCGAACTTGTGTGCGTGTGTGACCAAGTGAAGGGGTGTGTGGTTTTGGGTGTCTTTTCACCGGAGCAAACAGGACAGAGAGGCAGAAAGTCTGAGGCAAGCAGTTAGGATGGATGACTTTAAATTAATTATGGAAGTTGAGAAACACAAGGAGCTGTACGACCCCGAAAAACGTGGTTATTTACGTACCCATGTCGGAAGAAACTGCTAGGATACAGCTGCAGAATTGGAGCGGGTTCCAAGAGATTCAACTGGCAGAAAAAACTCATACCATAGGTTCACACACACACACACACACGCACACACACACACACACACGCACACACACGCACGTACAAACACTCAAACGTAGAGGAAAAGAGCTGAGAAAAGGCAGAGAGGAAATGGAGGACACCAAGTGTTTAAAAGAAAAACTACAGCTGAGCCGAGGCGTGCCTCGACTGGGGCGCGTCTGATCTGAACTGAGGAGCGGCGAGCAGCGGCCGAATTTCGTGAGCGATTCGCTTCTCGGCGCTTCTGCGGCCGGTGTGTCCCCGGCGTTATGCAGAACATAAAATGCTTTTTAATATATTGAAGGAAATTTGATTATTGTCAAAAAAAAAAAAAAAACATCCAGCCTGGCATCAGATTCCTGGAGTGAAATGCTCCAAGGAATGATGCGATAAAAACATCTGGTTTGAGCGAGAGAAGATTCTCAGCTGTAGGTGTTTTTCCTCTTTGATCAGATCTTCTAGAAAAGTCCAGAGTGGTGTTTCAGCAGCCAGGAGAGAGGAGCTACCACATCTACTACCAGATCCTGTCCAGTCACAAGCCGGAGCTCCAAGGTAAATCCAGCCTGACCAACAGAAAGGTTCACAGCAACCCAGCCTGGAATCAGCCCTCTGGTACAGGTGCACAAACCAACAACAAAACCAGTAAAGCCACAGAAACCTGGATCTGCTAGGTTCATGCGCGTCCCCAACAAACCGCCCAGAACCGAAAACACCCGCCTCACCGAAACAGGGAAAACACAACGGAAAACCTGATTGTGGTTTGAACCCCGAAGGTCAGCATCCACGTGTTTCTGAAGCTACAGGTGACCACATCTGGGCAGATGTGTCCAAAGACGCAAACTATTAAATTAAAAAGTAAAAATTCACCTGTTGTCAGAAAACCCAAGTTGATTATTTAGTTCAACAAATAAAAAAATCAGATAAGCCAGATCATCTAACTTTAGGCTAGATTAAACCTGGTTTTATTACAAACACGTTACAATCAGGCTGTTTACCAAACATAGACATCACCTGTCACAGGTACAGACCTTCACATAAGCAAGCTGAAGTCAGGTCAGCAGCCCGAGCGGAGAGGTTTTACACAACAGGAACCTGAACTTCTAGCTGATCTAGAGTAAAACAACAAAAACTTTTACATTTTAAAGATAAATCATTCATCGGTAACAGCAACGTTTGTATCAATGATAAACGATTTAATCACAAACAAAATCTGATAAATCACAAAACATAAAGTCAAGAGTGTGAAAGTGGCTCTAACCTCCAACCTAAACCCATAATTAACCAACTAACCAGCTAAGGGGAGAGTCTGACTCACCTGTTTCATCTTCTCGTTAGCAGGTTAGCAGAGGCGAACAAAAATAGCTCGTTAGCATTCAGAAGATGGAAACCGGAAATTAAACCAAGTTCCTCATAAAACTAGAAGATTGTCAAATTATCTTATATTCTGATTTAGAACCGCTCCGTTTTCGGTGAGATCCAACAGAGACTTAATCTACTTTAATTAGCCATAGCCTCGTTTCTCCAGCGCACGCGGCTACATCCGGGTCATCTCCGTGATGTGTTCAAGTGGACTCGGAAACGTATCAACTCCGCATAAACAAGCGGTGAAGTTTAAGTAAAAAAAACTAAATTTTTGTTCTTTCACACATTTAACAAGAAATTTTATTAAAAGTAATAAATAAGTGTGTGAAAATTAGAAATAATTTATACTTTATATTACATAGCATAGCATAGTTTATTTATATAGCACATTTAAAACACAGCATGGGAGCTGCCCAAAGTGCTGCACAGGCTAAAACAAAACACAACCCTTCGAAAGAACTAAAACAGAGGATAAAAATCCCAAAAGCAGATAAAACATGATGAATACTAAGAACACATTAAAACAATGACACAATAAAACACTAAAACGAGTCACTGTCTAAAAGCCAAAGCGTAAAGGTGGGTCTTTAAATGAGATTTAAAAACCGCCAGAGATGGAGCCTGCCGAACTCCAATGGGCAATGAGTTCCATAGCTTTGGGGCAGCATGCACAAATGCTCGTTCACCCCACGATTTGAATCGCATCCGCGGCGTGCACAGCAGCAAAAGGTCAGCCAACCTCAATGTGCGCGTGGGCACATATGGAGTGACTGTGCATGAGATAAGTAGATTAATGACACCAGTGCCACTGCTCCCTTGAAAATGATCTGTATAATAATAATATTAAAATTAATGATGATGATACTCGTGTGTTTCAGACATGCTGCTAGTCACCACCAACCCCTACGACTACCACTTCTGCTCTCAGGGTGTGACCAAGGTGGAAGGCATCAATGATGGGGAGGAGCTAAATCTCACTGACGTAGGACTGACCCACCTCCCAAACAAACCCCTCCCCTCCACACACTTAAGTCTAATCACCTGATTTATGTCTGCAGTGTGCCATGGACACTCTTGGATTCACTCCAGAGGAGAAGTATGGCTGCTATAAGATCGTTGGAGCCATCATGCACTTTGGCAACATGAAGTTCAAGAAGAAACAGAGAGAGGAGCAGGCTGAAGCTGACGGCACAGAGAGTAGGGCCAGTCCTAACCAGACAAACAGCGTTAAAACAGAAATGTTTGGTGCAACTACAGAACAGAAAAACAGCCGTAGCCAAAAGTTCTGAAGGGGAAACGAGTCTGAACTATTGGTCAGTCATTTCTATGGTTACAGAAATATTACTGACAATGATGCAGTTGTGTTGAGCATTTAGATGCTGGCTATTCTAAAGCGCCAAATTAGCTTGGCTTGACAATTACAGTGAGTTGAATCAAAGAGTTCACATCTCCAGTTTTGGTCTTTCTAGACCTTCATAGTCCCCGACTTGATGCCAACCAGTTTGTTTCCTGGAACCACTTAATTCTGACATCTGCCTTCTGATCTGGTACTTCATCCGACTGGAGAAGACATAATTCCTCCCCAAGCGGTTTTTGATTGGTTTGAGGAGTTCCTCTGGGAGAATATTAAGGTCCTGTTATTTTTTCAAGGCTGTTAGTTAGTCCACTCCCTTGGCTGAGAAGCATCCCTTCACATAAATTTCCCAAGATTCTTTACTGTTGGAGGACACGGGACTTATGAGTCCTATCTAATTCTTCTCCAAATGATCGTTTTTTCCAGGAACTCCAATCAGTCAGATATCAAAGACGATGACTTTCCTCCAGGCATCAGCAGTCCAAATCCTGGCCCTTCAGTGGAAGATCAGTTCCTGAAAGTTTTGTTGGAGAATAGTGGATTTTTTCTGCGCCGCTTAACACCAGACCATCCTCCTACAGTATTCTTCCACTGTGCTGCTGCATCAGCTTTAAAAGATGACTATGGTGCTTTTGGACTCTCTGAGCCACACTGTGAAGCCTTCTTCACAAATGTTATGCATTTTGGACTTTTGAGATTAGGTTATAAATCCTAACTCTGAACTATTTAGAACATTACGGAGTTCCTGCAAACTTCATAAAAACTGAAGCGCCAAACTTGGAGATGATCCGTATTTCTGTCATTCTCTGAAACTTTGGGTCACGGCTGTAAACAACACAAAACAAGCCTTCTGTTCACCTAAATGGTAAATGGCCCGTATTTGTATACCTCTAGCTTAGAGTTCTACAACCCCCCCAAGGTACTTCACAACACAATCAGTCATCTACCCATTCACACGCTGGTGAGGATGCGCTACGATGTAGCCACAGCTGTCCTGGGACTCTGACAGAGGCTGCTGAGCACTGGCGCCACCGGTCCCTCCGACCACCACCAACAGGCAAGGCAGGTTAAGTGGTGCTCCTTCATCACGTTACAGTGTCTTGCCCAAGGTACAACAGCAGTATTCTCTGGTCGGAGCTGGGATTGAACCTGCAACCTTCTGATTACTGGACAATCCGCTCTATCTACCTCCTGACACATCAAAGATTTAGTGTGACACTGCTGGTGGTGGTCAGAGGGACCAGTAGCACCAGTGTCGCGTCCATCAGTGCGCCCCAGGGCAGCTGCAGCTGCATCGTAGCTCATCTCCACCGTGTTGAGTGGGTGGATGTGGGGTCGTACAACCCTTTACCGTTTACATCAACTGGATTATGAAGTTTTAACCTCTAAAAACGTGACTTGGAACCTAAAAACTTCCCATTTGGAAAACACGAGTCAAGTCTAATACTTTGTTTAGATAATGTGTAGAACAATTAATGGTGTAGTATTTACTGGTGTGCTTATTGTGTGCTCAGGTGTGGATAAGGCTGCATACCTTATGGGCATCAGTGCTTCTGAGCTGCTGAAAGGACTTCTGAACCCCCGAGTCAAAGTTGGAAATGAGTTCATCGTCAAAGGACAGACAGTAGAGCAGGTGATTCGCCACAGTCCAACGCCGCGCCGCAACAAAACAGCACCTTTACAACAGGTCACTTCCTGTCTGACCGCAGGTGAACTACGCAGTGGCCGCCTTGGCCAAAGCTACTTATGACCGGATGTTCAAGTGGCTGGTGGGTCGAATCAACTTGTCGTTGTACACCGCTCTGCCTCGTCAGTACTTCATCGGAGTCCTCGACATCGCCGGGTTTGAGATCTTTGAGGTAAAGACAAAAAACCTTCAAACACAAAAACTCTTTAATCCCATCTAGATCTAAAACATTCAAATCATCGTTTATGTTCAAAATGGATAAATATATTGTGAAGAAAGCATCAAATTAGCAGATCGATTCAAAACCTTCAGCACTGAAAGCAAAGTCTTTAATTATTACTCAGATATTCAGATCAGATTTTCAATTAAATATATTTACTAATTTTTTCTTTACTTCACAAAATGATAGTAAACAGAAGAAAGAGGAGTCGGTTGGTGTTCCATCAGGCGTCTGCATTATTAAAGGAGTCGAACACAGAAAACCCATTTCTCATGATTATTTCTGATTCTAACGAGTCACGAGTGTTTCATGCAGGCTGAGCATAAATAGTCTCCTATACCTATCTCCTGCATTAGCTTCTGATAGAAAACAGACGGTGAAACTCTAGGATTAGAAAATCCTGACAGATCTACGTCACCCTGTCACTAACATTCATGGACTCACCCATGACGGGAAAGCTGTTGTTGGTTTAGCGTCCAGGAAACAGCAGAGAACGCCTCTGCTAGTAGAAGCTAACCGTTATCATTAGCAACTGAAAGGCTTTTAGCAATTCAATTCAATTCAAAGATACTTTATTAATCCCAGAGGGAAATTAGAGTTTCAGTACACACAATTCAGAGATTAGACATACATGGGCAAGACACGTGGCAAGAATTGGTGACTGTAGTCATTCGCAACCCTGAGTCGCGCTACCTTAATAGAGATCAGGGGGTTACATGAGGATTGGTTTAGGTGGAGGAAAAAAAGGCACTTCAGAGTTACCCTCCACAGGAACAGACTTCAGACATCACACAACATAAGTGTCCACTAGGTGGGGTGGTAGGGTTTGGGACTCTCCACACTTCAGTTCCTGCAGCCATGATAAGCAGCGCATGTCAACTCAGTCTGAACAGGGAGAGGAGCATTGAGGGTTGGAGGGTTGCAGTGACCCTGGAACGATTCAGCGGCCTTCCTGCAGTCCCGCCCAGGCTGGGATAGGAGACAGAGTTGAGTTGCCATAGCGACGGCACATTCCACATATCTTCTGAGGGGGGAGTTTTCGTTGGAGCCTTGCAGGCTCAAGGGCGCCAGATTCCGATTAGAAATTGTTTTGGGGCCAGACAGAGATCATTTCCTCTCTCTCTTACAGTTCCTTGGTCCTCAACCTCTCAAAATCCCAATAATGGACATTAATCGATCCCAATCCGTGCTGATTCGTTCACTCTATCCTTGATGGCATCCATCTTTTGTGCCAATGAATGAATCTCGGCCAAAGTCCCAAGCTTACGATTCATCTCGACAACTATGTGAGTCTGTGAATTCACAGCGCGGTGCAACCCATCTCTGAGCTCCGGGATCAGGCCAATATTCCTCGACAGCTCGTTAATTTTCCGGTAAGCCAGGAAGCCTCCAAGGCCAATGAGCAGGAAACCCGACACCAACACCACAAATATCCACAAGTCTTCAGAGTCCTCCACAGACAGCTGAGATAAACAAATCAAGTCCCACTGTTTCCAGGAGTCCATGATGTGTCCAACAGGGTCTGTCCAGGAGGGGCATCCGAGAGCCCCTTCTCCCGTTCTCATTGAAAAAATTGTATCAATCGCGTTGAGTGACCAACTGACGAGATCCATTTTAGTGATTTCAGTTTCCAGAAAAAATGCAGAAGCAGCCGTGCACCCAGCACACAGAGACAGACAAAGGGCCTTGAGGATAAGATATGGAGGAGAGGAGGAAAAAAGCGTCTGCACCCTCCGAGAGCCGACTTGTTGTGGTTTTAAAGACATTCAAGTCTTTTAGAACAGAGGAAAGAGCCGCAGCAAACTCCGCTTCAGTCGCCATGTTTATGATAAACTCGGCGTTATGGTATGTGACGTACGCTACTCAGCGCTGATTGGCTCGGTTAGAATTTGCAGGGGGTGGGGTTATTTGAATAGGAGAGATCCCAGACTCTGTCTCTGTGCAGAATTAAACAGAGGAGGAGTCTGACAGGCCAGGCTAGACTTGAAGCCCTTCCTAGGTGGAAATGGAGCAGTCCTGGTGGTTGTGGATGCGTGCATTCGTTCAGCATTTTTTTATTTTTTTCGCAGAGTTGGAGACGTCTTTACGGTGGGTTAACTGCAGCGTTTCACACCGTGGTTAATAATCATTCATTCCTACTAGAAACCACTGCAGATGCATTCATTAAACAAGAGAACCACACCTTTAATATAATTATGCTTCTAAACTTAGAAACAACAAATCTGATGATAAATTCTTTGATTTTGTTTGTTTTTATTGCAGTTGAACAGCTTTGAGCAGCTGTGCATAAACTTCACAAACGAGAAGCTGCAGCAGTACTTCAACCACCACATGTTCGTCCTGGAGCAGGAGGAATACAAGACTGAGGGCATAGAGTGGACCTTCATAGACTTTGGTCTGGACCTACAGGCCTGCATTGACCTCATAGAGAAGGTGCATTCAGACTCACAGTAATGCAGGGTTGCTGGTTGAAAACCACAGCCTTAACGCAATGATGTCATACGTCTATAGCTCCAGCTAACGTGCCTGATCGTAGTTATTTTAGCGGTTAGTAGCTAAATGCTGTTGTTAGATGTCTGTGGGCTGGGTTGGTATTAAATGATTAGCATGCATGTTTAGGGGCTTGTGGTCATGATCGCAGCCAGTCTGACAATAACGAGGATGTTTCTGAGGTGACGGATTAGCTCGCACAAAGCTAACTGGTGCTAGCTTGAAGAATCAACTTTTTCCTGGAGAATGATTTAAAAATGTGCCGTAGGCTGACATTATATACTTCAAGCAGGGCCCAGACGGTGTGACATCACTACAGTATGAGCTGTTACGCTTGTTTGTGATTTAACACTGAAATCAAGACTGGAAAATGTGTGTTTGTGTTTCTAGCCAATGGGTATTCTGTCCATCATGGAGGAGGAGTGTATGTTCCCCAAAGCCACGGACCACAGCTTCAAAACCAAGCTGTACGACCATCATCTGGGGAAGTCACCGAACTTCCAGAGACCACGGCCTGACAAGAAGCGCAAATATGAGACGCACTTTGAACTGATCCACTACGCTGGAGTGGTGGGTCACCGCTGACGTGTTGGTTTTATGATCATTGGATCTGGTACCAGCCTGGTTCTAATCGTTGTTTATCAGAACCGTAGCACACCCAGCTTTAGATTCAGTTTGAAGCATCGCCATGGCCATGGGTGTTGTTTCCATTTAGTGTGAAACCGAGGGATCCAGATGGAGCCCGGCGTTTGTTTTAGTAGTCAGCTGGAGAGTTTTCCACATCCGAGTCTGTTTGTCACATTCAGCTAGTAGCAAAACTAAAGTTAACTCCTTACATCCTAAATAAACTAGGGAGGTTTGATCTCATCTGGCCTGGAGACCCAAACCGTTCATCTCAAGATTAATGAAAGAAAAAATGGTAAATGGTCTGTCTTTGATATAGCGCCTTCTAGAGTCCTAGAACCCCCCAAGGCGCTTTACAGCACAATCACCCATTCACACACACATTCACACACACATTCACACACTGGTGGTGATGAGCTACGATGTAGCCACAGCTGCCCTGGGGCGCACTGACAGAGGCGAGGCTGCCGAGCACTGGCGCCACCGGTCCCTCCGACCACCACCAGCAGGCAACGTGGGTTAAGTGTCTTGCCCAAGGACACAACGACAGCGGGACTCGAACCTGCAACCTTCCGATTGCCACCATCGCCCCATAAAAAAAACTATTTCCATCTAAATTAAATTACAGCACTCGCACGGCGTACGTTTTAGGACATCCTCAGGTGTCAGGTATCAGGTGTCAGACTTCAGACCGTGTGAAAAAGCCTCCAGTTTCAGGAAAAACTGCTTCAGGACAAATTTTGTCAAACCATAAGGCTCATGATGTCTGATAACTGGTGGGGGTCGCTTTATAGGCGCAGGCGGTTCAGACCGGGGGGGGGGGGCACAGGGTAAAGGGCAGCTACGGGCGCACAGAGTTTGGTCGGCTCGGCGTGGCTCCGGCGCTTTCGGACAATGCCAGGGGTGTCGGAGAGGCTGGGATGTGGAACACACACCACAGTTGTCCCGACTGCAGTGGCGGCTCCAGAAATGTTTTTCTGCAGGTGCTATGAAGGAGCTAGTCTTTTTATTGAGGGTGTTATGAAGGAAGTGGTCATGCGTACCTATTGTTCTCTAAAACACCTTCAACACTAGCAGACACACATGCGTGCACAACACCTCAACAACACCTGAAACAATCATTAATACACATCATAAACACATGAACAATCGCTAACTTTTCCATGAAATCATAAACACATACAGCCACACAGAAAACCATCTATAGTGTTGCAAGGTTAGCTAACGTTAGTGCTAAACCCTGGACTGCTGCGGCGGTTGAGGGTTGACTCTCTTCATCCAGATCCGTAGGTTTTTGTGGGTCTGAGATCACTTCCAAACATTCATTCGTTTCTGACTGAACCCGTGGAAATGTGGGCAACAAAAACCGATCCATCTTACCGCTAGCTCTGCCTTTCTCTCGTTCACAGGTGGAAAATGAGGTCAAAGGTTAACATCTATTTCCTGTTTTGGTTTAAGTTTTTACAATCTATATGATAATTTACTGATTATTTTTGTTTTGTTGGTTAAATATTATCACATCCACACGTTAACTAAAAATTAAATTGTAAAAAAAAAATCTAATATCTACTTGGGGGTGCTATGGCTAATCCAGGGGTAGCTTTAGCGCCCCCCCTGGTGCCGCCACTGCTCCCCTGCCGTTGTCCGAAAGCGCCCCGACTCAGGCGATGTCTGACAACTGAGACCTGAGGATGTCCTAAAATGTACGCCGTACACTCGACTCTGTCTTTAGTGTTCCCGTTAAGAAATGGTGCTCAGATCTAGTCTAGTCATCACCCTGCGTGCTTCTAAATGACATTTTAAAACACGTGTTTATGAGTCTAAAAGCTCTGGTTCAACTGCGGCTGGAAGTTTTAATTAGAAAAATGTGTTGGTGACCTCAGTGGTTTTTATCATGGATACACATCTGGCAGTGGAAATCTGACCCCTGCTGAAACGATAAGGACCCAGAGCTTTGCAGAGCTCACTTCGTGGATAGTTGAGGTGAAAATGATGCTGAAAAATCCCTCTGTGTCTGATCTAGAGTTTGGTGTGTGACGTAGGTACCGTACAACCTCACGGGATGGCTGGACAAGAACAGAGACCCTCTGAATGAGACGGTGGTGGCGCTCTTCCAGAAATCCTCCAACAAGCTGATGGCCGGGCTGTTTGAGAACTACATCTGCTCCGATACGGGTATGTCCTCGTTCCACCTAACAAGGACGGCTGGGAGAATCCTGTTAAAAGTGGTTGTTGGTGTCATTTCAGCCAGCGACCCAAAGAGCGAGACCAAGCACCGGAAGAGGAAAGCAGCGTCGTTTCAGACGGTTTCACAGCTGCACAAGGTGAGCTCAGGCTAGTTATGATGACACAAAAAGCAAAACGCCGTCAGCTGATGTAAATGTTCCAATTTCTGTGTGAAATTACAGGAAAATCTGAATAAACTGATGGCGAACCTACGAAGCACTCAGCCTCACTTTGTCCGCTGCATAATCCCCAACGAGGACAAGAATCCAGGTGAGAATCCGCCCAGTCAGCAGTTTCACAGCAAGTCTGGCATCGAACCACTGGTGGGTGGCTCAGGTGCCTTCAGGGGGATTCTGTCAGGCTTCTTCATAGATGAAAACTCTCAACACGTTGCTAAGGTACAAGAAAGTAGCATTTTACATTTGAAAGTATCAAACTTTGAGGGAGTTCGTTTCTCAGACGTGAACACGTGAATCTGAACTCAGGTATGTTGGTTTTACTGGGTGTACCTGAACATGAACCACAGACCAAAGTACCACGATGCCGGTTTACACGAACCCGAGTCACGTCCTTCCGGGTTCAGGCAGCACGAAATTACTGCTAGAAGAAACAAAGCAATAGGGAATGTAGATTTCTGTGTGGCGCTGCAGCTAACGTACGTCTGGTTACTCTGGAAGACTTTAGCTAAGCACCACCAACGAGAGGGTCGACTGTTGTTTCCAGGTGTGATGGATCCCTTCCTGGTCCTGCATCAGCTCAGGTGTAACGGAGTCCTGGAGGGGATCAGGATCTGCCGGAAGGGGTTTCCCAACCGCCTCCTGTATGCAGAGTTTAAACAGCGGTGAGTTCAGCTACAGGGCCGAGCCAACATCTGGAGCCAAGCAGTCAAATGTGTCAATAAACAGGCACATAAGGTGGATTAAGCCCATCTGTGGTGGTGCACAGACACCATCACCCATCAAAGCAGCAGCTCTGACAGAGACATCACCAAGTTTTCAACTGATGGACTACATCTTTGGAAAGTGCAAGCCTGTGATTGGTCAGCACGCTACTTCCTTTGAATGTGTTAACAGCATCACCAAAAAGGCGCGCGCCAAAGAGATCTAGCAGCAGACACTGATCATACCAAAGGGCATCTCATAGCAGATGTGGCAACGCTTTAGTTTAGGGAACACAAATGACCATTAATTAGCTGCCAATTAATATGCATATTAGTGGACTAGTAAGCCTGAAGTAGACATTATCAAGCACTTATTAACAGCTTATTACTAATGCCGTCATTCTAACATTAACAGGCCATAAATTAAGAGTTTTATCTAAATAAGCCATTCATAATGGTTTGTTAAGTGAAAGTTAACGGTTGGTTGCTGATTAACGTACATGCTAATTAGCTCAAATCAATATGTGGCTTTTAAGGAAGTGATTCAAGGGGAACATATTCTTGCATTAAGTGGTTAATTAACACTAAACTACTAGTAATTAGGGACGAACAAAATGTGACTTTAGAATGGGGAACAGATTCGTGCTTACAAGCGGTTAATTGATGGTTGTTTAGGCTCTATTAACATGTGGAGTTTGGTGTTTATTTATGTAATACCAGAACATAATATTTTTGGGTATTAATGCAGAACAATTAATTCCCTTGAATTACTTCTTTATAAGCCACATATTGATTTGAGCTAATTAGTATGTGCGCTAATCAGCAGCAAACCAAACCAATCAGTTAACAAACCATTATGAATGGCTTCTTTTGATAAAACTCTTAATTTATGGCCTGTTCATGCTAGAATTACGGCATTAGTAATGAGCTGTTGTAGCGATTAAATTTACATGTTATTTAATGAACCATAAAATGTGAGATTCCACAGGAAATATGAAATCAATCTTATGGATCTTTGGATAATTTTAACCAGAAGATTGGAACTTTTTATTGCAGGGATTAGGTAACACTTCGTATTCACTCAGAGACAAAAGTGTCAAGTTAAAAGTTTAAAGATTTATTACTAAACAAATTAAAACTTGACTAAATGTATGTTGTAACTAAGATGAAGTGAGACGGAGAATGGTGTAGTGTGGAACGTTGTTCAGAACCAGCAGATCCGGAGAAACGATTAGTTCTGATGGGAGTGAAGGTGATATTTCGCGCTAAGCTTTGGTTTGGAGATTTATAACACACATTGAGACGCCATTCTGCCGGCCTACATACCCTTTGCGGAAGTCCCCGTTAGATCAGGAATGCCGAGGTCAAGCTTGACCTCCTCTGGCACCGAAGCCGGTAGAAAAGCAGCGGCTGCCGACCAGACCAGTGTTGAGATCCTTCCGGGTCACGACAGTTTTATTGGCATCTAGCGAGACCCCAAAGGGGGGTCGTGATGGTTCAGCTTTTATTCTGAAAGGAACCGTTGCAGCAGGTGGAACGTGCAACAGATTTTATCCAGCTTGTTGTTGGTTCTTTCGGCTGGAGAGGAAAGTTACGGATTGGCCACTCCGACAACTTCTCTAGAACGCTTGAACTGAAGTAAGATGACGTGGGCGTAGTTTTATAATTTGGATGTTTTGATTTACGGTCGAATCAAAAAGGGACACCAAGAGGGGATTTACCAAGAGCCACCAAAACCACGCCTCGCGTCAGATCTGGAAGGTTCTGATTGGATCAGAAAAAGGAAATGTGTCATGTGACTTAACATTACGTGGATGAGAATGTCTAGTGGAAACATTTAAAGTTATATTACGTATTATAACTACTGATCATAACATTGTCATTTCACAGACTGGTTCACATTTTATTACTGGACTAACACTGTGTTTGATTAGCTTTATTAAATAGAGTTCTTCTGATTTATTAAAAGAAAGAGTCCTTTGTGTTCATTCTTCTCTTGAGCAGGAAAGGAAGACACAGTTTAGGAGCAGATGCATGACCTTGAGCAATATCTCATGCAGACTAGGTTTGTGTCAGAAACTTCTGGTTCTGCTTTGAGCAGAGCAAAACACAGCAGGGCCTTTTAGGTCAGAAATGGACAATTCATCACACTACACTGTTAATAAGTGATTAATGACGACTAGTTCTGACTTAGTAGTCCACTAATATGCATATTAATGGGCAGCTAATTAATGGTTAATTTGTGTTCCCTAAAGTGTTCCCGAAGATGTTTGATGGTAAGAATAGGTCCACAATCCTCATTTTCCAGCCTTGCTCATCCATTTTCACACCCAAACAGAAAGTTTTAGCAAACGTGCCGAGGCTGAACCTTTCCCACCCTAAAGCCAGAGTCCTGCTGAAACCTGTAGGCTGAACTTTCCAGATGAAGGATGAAGCTTCTCTCAGCTCCTGGCTTTGGTCTTCTACTTGTCCATGTTCAGTTCCTACAGACAATAATGAGACATGCTGAATGGTCCACCCTCACACTCCTCATCCTCGCAGACCTGCTTCTCTTTCAGTTATCGCATCTTGAATCCTACTGCCATCCCAGAGGACTCGTTTATGGACAGCAGGAAAGCTGCAGAAAAGCTCCTGGGTTCTCTTGACGTGGACCACAGCCAGTACAAGTTCGGACACACGAAGGTACAACAGCCTCAGGGTGCCGACCCGTCCGATGACTACAACCCTGCTCTCTTCACCGTCCTGCTTCTCTTTAGGTTTTCTTTAAGGCGGGTTTGTTGGGTCAGCTGGAGGACATGAGGGACAGCCGTCTGTCTCACATCATTACCAATGTCCAAGCCATGTCCAGAGGGAAGCTGATGAGGATACAACGGCAGGACCTGATGAGAAAGAGGTCAAAATTAAAGCCATCAAAGCCATCTAAATGTTTATTATTTGTTAAATATTTGTATTTTTGTTGCTCTCCAAATATTAAAAGTAGAAGGCTTGAGGACCATCACTGTGTTTCTTTTCCAACTCAACATCTGCTTCATGTTTTTCTCCATTAACTTCATGTTGTTCACACCTCAAGTAAAACTGAAAACGTCTGGAGTGAAACGACCGATGGAACATCTGTGGGGTGTCTGAGACCTGTTGTGTTTTAGGGATGCTTCAACGGTGATCCAGTTCAACCTCAGGGCCTTCTTCTCGGTTAGAACTTGGCCGTGGATGATGATGTTCTACAAGCTTCGTCCACTTCTGAAGACCGCCCAGGTGGAGAAGGAACTGGCTGCTCTGAGAGAAGACTTTGCCAAGTTGAAGGAGGCTTTTGAGAGGTTGGTCTATGTGCTCCACACTGGAATGACCTTCCTGAAGACAAAGTCTCCTGATGTCTTAATGGCTGAGTTTGTCTCGGTCAGGTCCGAGGGGAAGAGGCGGGAGGCTGAGGAGCGGCAGGTGGTTTTGGTTCAGGAGAAAAATGACCTGGCCCTGCAGCTCCAAGCGGTGAGTTTCGTTAAAGTGCTTCAAACCACGTAACGTAACAAACAAGCCTTTCTGCAGTGATTTTAAATATAAAAAGGTTGAAACGCCTCAGGAGCATTCTCATGGTACTCACAACCACGCTTTCTGGTGTAAGAAGAAGCTGTTTAACCCTCCTGTCGTGTTCACCTCCCACCCCGTACGTTAGCGTCTGATTTCACTGCTCTTACATTAGCACTAACAACATTTCTCACCACCAAAGTTTTAGTCTACAATCCACAGCTGTGAACAATGTCTCAAAGTAGAGTTTAACACAAACTTATGGAGTTAGACAAAAATTACTGCCGTGAAAATGTATTACAAAATTAACGTGTAATGTAAAAATTAGGTGGAAAAACAAAGACCAAACTCAATTTGAAGTTGTCTGTGTGTGTGTGTGTGTGTGTGTGTGTGTGTGTGCGTGCGCACATTCATGCACACGAGCAGTATGTGACGCTCAGGTCCGAGTGGGCCTTGCAAACATAAGCATCACATTTGTAGCATCTCAGGCTTGTTTGGTGGTCTCTAGGGGCACAGAGCTTACAGCGCTGCCTTTGGCGGGAGAGACGTCTGGGCAGCGGCTGGGGCTTGAACACTCCTAACCAAAATGGCAGAGGCTGGTGTGCGTGGAATATGCTGGTGCCGTTGAATGACAGGAGTCACCAAAGCTTTCCCCAGCTCTGCTAGGAAAAGTCTCTCGGCACATAAGTGCAGGAAAAAGATATGTACCCAGAAAACACACTGTTCCGTCTGAAATGTCAGTGAGTGAGTTTGGGCGGTGTGTTTTCTGTCTGATGGACGCATATAGTCTGGATACCCCTTCATTTGCTATGGCGGTCCCTTTTGCAAGGGCGCCCCCAAGGGGTGGTCAAGGGCGGCCATGGCCACCCCTAGAAAATTGCTGGCCCCCCAGGAAAAGCCAGTGTTAAAAAATCATATTAATGTTCAGTCAAACCAGAAATTGATCTTGTTTATTCAAGACATGATTGAAAATCTAAATAAAAATATTACAATTAATGAGTAAAGAAATGATCACAATTTAAAAAAATACATACAAGTTTTTATCTCCATAGTTTATTTATTTGTGAACACAGCAACAGGTGTATTAACCTAAAAAAATTACATTTTTTTAATTTAATTTGGGATAACATTTTAAATAACTGAAATGTATTTTTCTAAAATGTTTGTGTTTGTAAAATTTACACGTACTGTTATTTTAATAAAAACGAATAAAGGTGCAATGCAGCACATCGCCACAGACTAAATTCTCCCAGCGTTACCACAAGGACCAATTTGGTGTGCCACCCCAAAAATGTCTATGGCCCCATCTGGCCACCCCATCAAAATTTTCTGGGGGCGCCCCTGGCTTCCTAGCCTAGAAATCTACGCCAAACGTAGCAGTAGATGACTTTGCCCTGCAGCTCAGCCTAGCCGTGCTCTAGCCTCAGCAGGACTCCCGTCACACCTCGTTTGGACACTTTTGTGCCTTGCGCTCTACCTTTGGTGGGCAGGCTTAACTCCAGAAGCTGCTGCAGAGAAAAACCACAACCGTTTATCAACTTTGAGTCTTGGGCTAAGGTGGCAGAGGAGTTAAGTGCCTGCCCTGTAACCGAAGGGTTGCGGGTTCCAGCCCCGTCTGTTGTGTCCTTGGGCAAAACACTTAACCTGCTGGTGGTGGTCGGAGGGACCGGTGGCGCCTGTGTCCGTGCATCCCAGGGCAGCTGTGGCTACACTGTAGCTCATTACTACCAGCGTGTGAATGGGTTAGTGACTGCTTGGGTTGCAAAGCGCCGTGGGGGGAAGGGGGAGTTGTAGCATGCTAGAAGGCAGCATGTCAAATACAGGCCATTTACAGGAAGAAGATGGACTGGAGACCGGTCCAGGATGTTCTCCGCCTCTCACCCGGTGGCTGCTGGAGTTAGACACCAGCTTTCTCTCAAAATAAATGGTTCTGATGATTCATGAATGAATACATGAAACTTTACGTATGATTCTTTAATCCTAATCATGCAGGAGCAGGACAACCTGATGGACGCAGAGGACCGTTGCAATCAACTAATTCAGTCTAAAATATCACTGGAGTCCAAGTTTAAGGAGATGCAGGAGCGTCTGGAGGATGAAGAGGAGATGAGTGCCACACTGATGTCCAAGAAGCGCCAGTTAGAAGATGAAGTGTTATCACTAAAGAGAGACGTGGACGACCTGGAGATGACGCTGGCTAAAGTGGAGAAGGAGCGACACGGGGTTGAGAACAAGGTGCGACGCCACACAGCTCGGCATCCCTGCTGATTTCCTTCACTTGTTGTCCACACAGAACAACACGCTTCCTGTCTTCCATCCAGGTGAAGAACCTCTCACATGAGATGTGCATCTTAGATGAGTCCATCGCATCTCTGAGCAGAGAGAAAGCTGCCCTGGTGGAGGCTCACCAGCAGGCACTGATCGACCTTCAGGCACAGGAGGACAAGGTCAACATGCTGGCAAAGGTCAAAATCCGGCTAGAGCAGCAAGTGGACAATGTAAGGAGAAGCTTCCTCTAAATTACAACTGTAGCACTGGCCCGAAAAACCAGTCAGTCTCACCATAACAGGAAGAAAGGGAGCTAGCAGTAGCTTGCGTTAAGCTAACACGTCAATGTGAAAACATTAGTAGAAAAGATACACAAGTTCAATCGAAATGTCACTAGAGATGAAGAACGAGACCAGGCGTGATGTGACTGAGCATTCACCTTAGTTCTAATGCATCACTATTTGTTACTAAGGAAGCCCCGAGGGGACAAAAATCTGGTGAACCCCCTCGTCCTCTCCTCTCCTCTCTGCAGGCGGAAGCATCCTTAGAACAGGAAAGGACGGCACGAATTGACCTCGAACGGACTAAACGTAAGCATGAGGCGGACCTGAAGCAGTCTATGGACTCGGTGAAGGACCTGGAGAAGCAGAGGGAGGAGCTGGAGGACAGACTGAAGAAGTAGGAGGGATCAGATACATTTACCGTTTAGCCTGGTGATTCATGTTATGCACTTTAGGAAAAACAAATCATCCCTCTCTGACTTTTACTTTGGTAAAGGAAAGACTTTGAACTGGATCAGTTTCAAGCCAAAATGGATGACGAGCGGAGTCTGGTTGTTCAGCTTCAGAAGAGGATGAAAGAGCTTCAGGTGGGTCTGAGAAGAAACCTTCAGCTCGCCTAATCTTCCCTCTAAAAAGAGCTACTTCAGAGTATAACGGTTGTTTCGTCAGACTCGTATCGAGGAGCTGGAGGAGGCACTGGAGGCAGAGCGGGCGTGGCGTCTCAAAGCTGAACGTCAGAGGAACGACATGGCCAAAGAGCTGGAGGAGCTGGGAGAGAAGTTGGAAGAAGCAGGAGGAGCTTCAGCTGCTCAGATTGCCCTCAACAGGTCTTTGACTTGGCTGAGCTGTTTGTCTTCATCATCAGTACTGAAGAAAAAGCGGGATGCTAAGTTTTTATTCAAATGTTTTATTTGTAACATTTAGGGAGTTTGTTGCGGGATAGTCCAGCGTTTCCTGTTTCCAGGATCTGTAGATAACTGTGTATCAAACAGGAAACGAGAGGCGGACTTCCTAAAGCTGCGGCGGGAGTTGGAGGAGGCGGGGCTTCACCATGAGGCTATCGCCGCCACTCTGCGAAAGAAGCACTCGGACACGGTGGCAGAGCTCAGCGAGCAGATAGACGGTCTACAGCGAGCCAAACAGAAACTGGAGAAAGAAAAGACGGAGGTCCAGCTAGAAGCCGATGACCTGGCAGCAACCGTAGAGCAGCTGACCCGAGCAAAGGTGCACAAGTTACCAAGTCTTTAAGAGCAAGTCCTCGGTGAATAATTAGGCTAGGCCCATAAAAAGATTGCTAAAGTGTCTCCTCACTGTGCTGATTTTTCACCCCAATCTCCCCTTCCGACAACTTTTAAGGGCCCCCAATGACTGTAACGGCTCTAAGGAACATCTTAATCAGATATTCCTGCCATGTGGTGTGTGTGTGTGTGTGTGTGTGTGTGTGTTTAGGGGACAGTGGAGAAGATGTGCAGGGTTTATGAGGACCAGCTGAATGAGAGCAGGAGCAAAGCTGACGAGCTTCAGAGGCAGCTCACCGACGTTTCAACACAGAAAACACGAGCGCTAACAGAAACCGGTAAAACTCAAGTACACAGAAACGTTTCATTTCTCTGAGGAATTTTCATTTCTACGATACTAAATCCAATCCTTTAAATACCTCTGACTACAAACCAATTCAGCATTTAACCAAATAGGCTCATAAAAACCTACAACTGCAGCCCATGACTGCTTTGAGTCTGTTTACTCAATGCAGAAACGTTATTTTTGGGGTAACTGAAGCATCCATTTGGCTGAGAGGATCACGTGATCAGTCTCAGAAACGTTTAGTCGAAGGAAAGTTTACTCAGCGACACAAAGACAAGCGGAGGTCAGATCTGAGACCGTCAGGTCATCTGGAGTAAAGGATAGTAGTAGATCATCTGCACAGCAGATATCAAAGACAAGGGAGCGTAACCCATCCAACATTTTGTTACCTTTTCCGTCCCCCCAGGCGAGTACCACTGTCGTCTTGAAGAGCGGGATACTATGATTGGCCAGCTGCAGCGCTGCAAGGCTAGCTTAAGTCAGGACAACGAAAATTTGAAGAAGCAACTGGAAGAAGGCAGCAAGGTAACTCTTAAACGTTTACAAGTAAACAAGTTTAGCAGCAGCTTCATTTAATAGGTAACATCTTGCATCGCTGCTGCAGGCTCGGGTGGCGTTGGCCCACGCGGTACAGGCATCCCGTCACGACTGCAGTTTACTCCGAGAGCAGCTAGAGGAGGAGCAGGAGGCCAAAGCCGAACTGCAGAGGGCGCTGTCTAAGGCTAACAGCGAGGCGGTTCAGTGGAGAGCCAAGTATGAGACTGACGCTGTGCTGAAAATAGAGGAGCTGGAAGATGCAAAGTAAGATGCTGCTGTCGCCAAAAGTGTGCATTTTCACACTCAACACCACCCAGAACATCAGTTTCAGGGATTTGCTTTGATGTTTGTAGAAAGAAGCTAGTCGTGAAACTGCAAACAGCTGAGGAAGCTGCAGAAGCTTCTCAGGCTAAATGTTCCTCACTGGAGAAAACCAAACAGCGCCTGCAAACAGAGATCGATGATGTGATGACTGAATCTCAGCGTGCCAACGCTGCTGCGTTAGCTCTAGACAAGAAGCTACGAGGCGTTGACAAGGTTGGCCTGGAGATGTGGCTTTCCACACAGACGTCAAACATGGTTTATGTGAGTGAAACCTGACGAGGAAACCAGATCAGAAACGAGGTGCTTGTGTTGTGTGATGCAGCTGCTGAGCGACTGGAAGCTGAAGTTTGAGGGGAGTCAGACCGAGCTGGAGGCCTCTCAGAGAGAATCTCGCAGTCTGAGCACGGAGCTCTTCAAACTCAAGAACAGCTACGAAGAAGCTCTGGATCATCTGGAAACAGTCAAGCGAGAGAACAGAAACCTGCAAGGTATCTTCATGAAACAGACCTTTCGTTTGTCCTGGATCGGGTCCACGGGAATCCCACCGGGTTATGAGAGGGGTTGGCTTGATGCTATGGTTTAAGTACTAATGAAAAACGGTCTAACGGACACATTAAAAGTAAAAAAGTGCTTATTTTTTTGTTTTTTACAACTGAATGGTGCAAAAAGGAAGGTTCATTCATGTTAGCTTATCACACACGTACTGACTAAATCAAAATAAATAAATAAACACGCCTCTGCTCTTTATCGTCTGGATAACCTATTTTTATGTCAATTGTTCCAGAGGAGATCCTGGATCTGACAGATGAGATCAGTCAGGGAGGGAAGACCATCCATGACCTCGAGAGGATGAAGAAGATCCTTCACGTGGAGAAGTGTGACATCAGAGCTGCTCTGGAAGAAGCCGAGGTAACATTTCCTGCTCTAAATGACAATCAGCTCGCCTGAACACGTCACCTAACAGCCACTTCCAACTCCCCAACAATCAGGGAACGTTGGAGCAGGAAGAAAGCAAGACCTTGAAGTTTCAGAGGGAGTTGGAGCAGATTCGGGCTGAAATTGAACGAAAGATTGCAGAGAAAGAGGAGGAGATCGAAAACCTCAGGTACGAAACAACTCGCGAGACGTGGGAGGAGTAAAGGTTTAGGATGGAGGAGCTAGTTGAAAGATTTTGTGATGGGAAGCTACGACAGAAAAATGCACCACATTAGGAGTTTGTATCCAGAATGCTTCATTCCCTTCCATAATCCCAACCCTGAACCCTAACACGTGATCTCCACAAGGCGGAGCCACCAGCACGCTCTGGAGAACATGCAGGCCAGCTTAGAGGCAGAGATTCGCAGTCGTAGCGAGGCAGTTCGTCTGAGGAAGAAGATGGAGTCAGACCTGAACGAGATGGAGGTTCAGCTGGGACACGCTAACCGGCAGGCAGCTGAAAGCCAACGGATCATCAGACACCTGCAGACACAGGTAGGCTCCCCTGAACAGATAGATCTGCACCAGGAAAACACCCAAACCGAACAGTCCGGGACAAGCTCTGCTGCTCTTTCCTGAATCGTTGGAAGTGAGTTTCCAGTTTCATGGTGTCTTGTTCCTGAGAGATGGTATGATGGAGGAGAGATGGACCTGTTGATGTGGTGAAGAAGCAGGCTCTGGATTTCCTGGTGGTTCTACAGTCCAGCACTCACCTGAGGGTATGTGACGTGGATTAGAACTGAATCCTGGATCAAAGCGACTAGATCTGACTCAGACATGACAGTACTGACACGCATCAGTGGGGAGCATCTCTGTTTGTCCCGTCTCCCTTCAGATGTGCAGGTGACTGTTTCAGCATTTCCTATGAACTTCTCGTTTTCTGTTGCAGGTCAAAGAGCAGCAGGTGGATCTAGAAGAGAAAGTCCAGCTGACCAATCAGCTCCAAGAACAGATCATCCTGTTGGAGCGACGGTGTTCGCTGTTGACAGAGGAGGAGAGGGAGTTACGAGGGATCCTGGAGCAGACCGACCACTCCCGAAAGATGGCTGAGAATGAGCTGGTGGAGGTGGCGGAGAGAGCCCACCTGCTCACCACACAGGTACTCACACCTGAGCGTTCCGGACAGGTCTGGAGCAGCGATAACGCCTGACTGACTGCTTCCTGTGTTTCAGAACACAGGTCTGGTGAACCAGAAGAGAAAGCTGGAGACGGACCTGTCCCTGCTGACGGGGGAGGTGGACGAGGCGGTGCAGGAGAGTCGTAGCGCTGAAGAGAAAGCCAGGAAGGCTGTCACTGATGTTAGTCCCGACCTCTGACCCCAGATCAAACTAGATGTGTTTTCCCAACGTCTCCAGCTTTTGCAGTTAGACAAATAAAGACATCGGAGCAGAATAAACCCCCACCTCCGAATCTGACACCTCCCTGGGGGGTGTTTGCTGAAGCTTGTGGATGCTTGTATTTCACCAGGCAGCTCTGATGGCAGAGGAGCTAAAGAAAGAGCAGGACAGCAGCACTCTGATGGAGAGGATGAAGAAGAACATGGAGTCCACGGTGAAAGGTACAGATGCTGAACTGAGCATGGCCTGGATGAAGATAGTGAGAGCCAAACATCTGATCACAGGTTCCTCAGGTCTCCGTGGAGGAACTCAAACCTTACCCCGGTTCAGCGGAACGGAACCGCAGTGGAGTGGCTCACTCGCGAACTTCAAAGCGGTCCTTTTCACACCGGGAGAGTCTTGGCCGCGGCACGGCTTCCTCGCTGCGCCTCGCTGTACTCGCGAGATTCTAAAATCCCTCGAGACGTCCGACACCTTCCTCGTCGAGAGATCACAATCCCCGCGAGGAATCACACCGTTGCACTTCTCGAAAGAAACTGGTGGTAAACAAAGCCGTTCGGTCACACGTGCTGACGTAAGTTATAGATAACATCGCAACGTTGCATTTTATTTTGAAAATAACTAGGGATTTTACACTGAAACCGTGTGTGGTTTCCTGTCTCGCACTATGCGAACTGCGGAAATTGTCGTGTCCCAGAAGCGCCTCGCGGAAAAAATAGAACCCGATCCCATCTTTAGCGGCGCGGCGCGGCATGCCGCTTCTGGGACGCGACTGAAAATTGCCGCGTCACGGCTGGTCTGAAACACTCCGTAGACTATAACTGGATTCTATTTGAAGCGGTGCCGCTTCGCTGCCGTTCCGTTCCGCTGATGCTTGCAGTGTGAAACCGGGGTCCTGCTGAGAGGAAACACAAACACCGCTGAACTACTTCTCTTAACTTGTGCTGACATTTTAGACACCTTAACTGGGCTGCGTTAGCGTCGTATCACGTCCACAAAATGTGCAATGCAGCAGTTAGCCGCCGTGACGGTGGATGGGAGGAGTTCCACCAGTCGTGGTTCGTAGCATTCCAGGGACACGTCTATTTTTTACGTGCTACGCTTCTGGGACGCCTCAAACTCCACATCTGAGATCGGGCCAGCCAGGAAGTCAAACACAGCAGCAGTCAGTGTAAAACATACAGAAACTTTCAAAATAAAAGTCTAGTGCAGATTTTCTGTTGCTTAGCTGGTGAAACCTCCGTAGTCGAGATAAACAGAACGGACACTAAACCAAAGACCTTTCTGCTTGTGTGAACTCCTGAAATCCCACATGGTGTTGCCATTTTCCCATGACCTCATGACCTTGTGGGACCAGCTGAGTGGAACAATTATGCTTCCACTTTGCGTCTGAAACACTCGAAAGAAAGCTAGTGAACAACTCACGTCTGTTACGCTACGTGCTGCTGACGTATCCAGTGGAAAGGTTGGGTAAGCCATGCGCTGGTTTAGTCTTCAGAACATTTTCGGAGAACCTGAGCCGACCTTCACCTCTGACTGAATGGTTCTGCACTCACCATGCCCCCATGCTAATGCTGATTTATGTGTTTGTGACAGAGCTGCAGATGAAACTGGATGAAGCGGAGCAGATGGCACTGAAGGGAGGAAGGAAGCAGCTTTATAAACTAGAGACAAGAGTGAGTCAATCCTCACATCCTAGACAGAAGGAGACACCTCTCTCTGGGTACAAAAATGAGTCTAGTTGAGCAGAACAGAGAAAACATTCATCAGGAACCTAAATATCTTGATAGATGGCGAACTGTGGAAAACAATCTAATAATCGATGCACTGAGATGCGGGCTATTATAAATCGTTGAAGAAGCACACTATAGACGATCATCGTGGAAAGCTGTTTGGTCTTTTTACCTGCAGCACCAGCATCACATCCAAATAAGTCCGTGGGACGTGTTCTCCCACATTTACGGAGTAGGAAAGATTGGTCTGCCTTTATGTGGCATTGCAGGGCTAAGCGCTGGACCTGAGACTGAACCCAAACTCAAGACTGAGTCATGCTTCTCCGTCAGTTCCAACAGGGAGAGACACGTACGCACGGAAGGAGACCGTCTCCTCGGGAGTGTTGCAAAGCAATTCCCCGCCAGGACAGCAGAGGGCATAGCGCTAATCTGTGGTATCCTGTCATGTATCGGTCCAAGATAGTGTGTTTATATTGTGTTTTTTGTATATAAGAGACTTTTTAACACGGACATATTTGTCTCTCATTCTCCTCCACCTCTTCATGCGCTCGCCACCTCTAAACCCACGTTTCCTGTCGTTTCCGTCCACAATTTTAACACTTGCTGCGTATCTTTTCACTCCTTCAGTCACGGGGAATTAAACGTTCATGTTTTTAGAGTTTTTTCGCGAGGTATTCTTCAAGCTGCTCCGTGTCTGCCGCTAGTTATCCTCGGCTCTCTTTATGTTTTTGAGGGTGCAATGCCGGCGGTGTAGACGACAGCGGTGCCCTGACCAATCACAAGCTTGCGTTCTCCATCTCGACGGACGGATGTTTAGAAAAGAGAGCTCGACTCCGTCTGTCCTTGCGGAGGCTCTCCAGCAGGCCCGCAAGGACGGATAATGGCGTTGCGTGTCTCTGCTCTGACGCAGACGCAGAAGCATGACTCAGGCTTAAGCCAAACATTTCATTTGGTGATATTTCTTACGCCCTTGAACTGGGGCAAAGATGTCGCTCTTAAGCTGCTCAAAGGCATTTAAAGCTAACATATGGACCCATTATGGAAAGGCATGTCCTACAGGTTTTGGTGGTAGCATCTGCAGAGCCTGAGATGTTGAATGAGAAAACTTTTTTTCCTTTGTTAAATCTTCTTAAATGTTTAAAATGTTTTGCCCTTAACATTGTCCGGAGGTCTGTTGTGATTGAAGAGCTTTGTTGGGAGGATGGCGTGTTGTGTCGGACACGTTTTTGATTGAAAAAGCAAACGTCGGACTATTAATCGATTAAAACAAATCCAATGGAAATAGACATGATGCATTGAGATGTTGAATCCAATCGTTGTCCCAATAATCGTAATCGAATCGAATCGTGGGACTAGAGAAGATTCACACCTCTAATCTACAGATGTCCGTAAACTTGATCGGATCTAACAGACGTGATGTCTGCAGGTGAAGGAGCTGCAGACGGAGCTGATAGTGGAGAAGAAGAGGAGCGAGGAGTATCAGAAAGGACTCCGCCGCAACGAGAGGAGGGTCAAAGAGCTGACTTACCAGGTGTGACCCTGCTGCTGCATGCAGACATGGTGGTTCTGTTTTTGACTGCTTTTTGTGTCCCTGCAGTCCGAGGAGGACAGGAAGACTTTACTAAGGATGCAGGAGCTGATCGATAAACTTCAAACCAAAGTCAAGAGCTACAAGAGACAAGCTGAGAACGCTGTAAGTCATCAGTTTAGACGATGGTGCAGACGGACATCAGAAACATCTGATTACGTGTCTGACTGTCCATCGGTCAGCTTCCATCGGTTCCAGAAGCTTTGTGTAGAAGCAGAAACCTTTCAGTTGCCTTTAATGCTGGGTTCATCGTTAACGTGTTATCCTCTCTTTGTCCACCAGGAGGAGCAGGTGAACAACAGCAACGTACGTTTTCGCAAAGTCCAACACGAGCTGGATGATGCGGAGGAGCGAGCAGACATCGCAGAGACGACTGTCAACAAGCTACGGATCCGAACCCGCGAACAAACCGCCAAGGTGGCCATGGTGAGTGAGACCAGGACAGACGGATTGTTTATTTTCACGTTCGTAACGCCGTCTTTGTTTCTCCAGATCACAGAGTGAAGGATGCCTCCTGGTCAGCCTCTACCAGCACACTCGTGTGCCGTTTGCTGTGTTTTTGTTCTTTTTTCTTGAGGTGCTGTTGGGTTTTTAAATCTTAAGTTTACTCAAATGAATCTTGGTGTTATTTTGATTGTAGCTTGTGCTGTGATCTGAAAACTTCAGTTTTTTCATGTTTTGTCTCCTTTACTTCCTGTTTCATCTTGTAGTTTGTTTCTGACCCCTGACCTTCACACCTAGTTTGTTTCTGACCTCTGACCTTCACGCCTAGTTTGTTTCTGACCTCTGACCCTCACGCCTAGTTTGTTTCTGACCTCTGACCCTCACGCCTAGTTTCTGACCTCTGACCTTCACGTCTAGTTTGTTTCTGACCTTTACATCTAGTTTGTTTCTGACCTCTGACCTTTACATGTAGTTAGTTTCTGACATCTGACCCTCACACCTAGTTTGTTTCTGACCTCTGACCCTCACGCCTAGTTTGTTTCTGACCTCTGACCCTCACGCCTAGTTTCTGACCTCTGACCTTCACGTCTAGTTTGTTTCTGACCTTTACATCTAGGTTGTTTCTGACCTCTGACCTTTACATGTAGTTAGTTTCTGACATCTGACCCTCACACCTAGTTTGTTTCTGACCTCTGATCCTAACGCCTAGTTTGTTTCTGACCTCTGACCCTCACGCCTAGTTTGTTTCTGACCTCTGACCCTCACGCCTAGTTTCTGACCTCTGACCTTCACGTCTAGTTTGTTTCTGACCTCTGACCTTTACATGTAGTTAGTTTCTGACATCTGACCCTCACACCTAGTTTGTTTCTGACCCTCACACCTGCACGATATTAGGAAAACCTGCGATATTCGATAACAGTGCTTAATATTGCGATATCGATATTACTCGCGATAAACGAACAAATACTAAAGTATGCAGTGTTGATGTCGTCTGGCGTGTGACGTCTGCTCTGGGTTCAAAGCAAACAAAAACTAATGCATGAATCCCATTACAACATAACATTTTTATTGCAAAAGTATGCAGCTGCACCCGCTACTGTATTAGCAGCTGCACCTGCTACTGTATTAGCAGCTGCACCTGCTACTGTATTAGCAGCTGCACCTGCTACTGTATTAGCAGCTGCACCCGCTACTGTATTAGCAGCTGCACCCGCTACTGTATTAGCAGCTGCACCCGCTACTGTATTAGCAGCTGCACCTGCTACTGCATTAGCAGCTGCACCTGCTACTGCATTAGCAGCTGCACCTGCTACTGCATTAGCAGCAAAACAACAAACTGCATGCATGCAGTTTTTCAGTGACTTTAAAACATCACCTCCACCATAAAACTTTTTCTGATGCTCCAAATACAGAAAAACTAAGCCATTAACATCACCACCCGGTGGAACACTAGCAACATGGAGGTGTGTTGGTTCACCGGCACGTGTCGGAGTCAGCCCAGTTACCATCAGCTGCTTAACGACACCGAGCGGACTCACGTTCACGTTTGAAAGCAGCGCTGATTCCAGAAACATCAGCACAAAGTGCGTTCGTTAATCTGAGCCAGCATGACGAACAAGGGAGCAGCGCCGCTAACTCAGTTTGGGTGTTGCTTTCCATCCTATGGGTCTACGTAGGGGGCGGGCGTATTACGTGAACGTACCCATCTGATTGGCCGCATATCAGAAAGGCTACATTTGATTGGTCAAATAATACTTCCGCGTAAAAAACAGAGCTGGTTTAAAAAAGGTGATGTATGACATGAACGGAAATGTTTGAACCAAACTTTTATCGCCGTTTTTGACGTGCTTTGCGATGGGCCTATCGCACGTCCTGTTATCGCGATGACGATAATTTTTCGATATATTGTGCAGCCCTACCTCTGACCCTCACATCTAGTTTGTTTCTGACCTCTGACCCTCATGCCTAGTTTGTTTCTGACCTCTGACCCTCACGCCTAGTTTGTTTCTGACCTCTGACCTTTATGTCTAGTTTGTTTCTGACCTCTGACCCTCACATCTAGTTTGTTTCTGACCTCTGACCCTCATGCCTAGTTTGTTTCTGACCTCTGACCCTCACGCCTAGTTTGTTTCTGACCTCTGACCTTTATGTCTAGTTTGTTTCTGACCTCTGACCCTCACATCTAGTTTGTTTCTGACCTCTGATCCTCACGCCTAGTTTGTTTTTGACCTCTGACCCTCACGCCTAGTTTGTTTCTGACCTCTGACCTTCACACCAAGTTTGTTTCTGACCTCTGATCCTCACGCCTAGTTTGTTTTTGACCTCTGACCCTCACGCCTAGTTTGTTTCTGACCTCTGACCTTTACGTCTAGTTTGTTTCTGACCTCTGACCCTTATGTCTAGTTTGTTTCTGACCTCTGACCTTCACACCTAGTTTGTTTCTGACCTCTGACCTTCACACCTCTGGATTCGGCTCAAGCTTCTTTGTTCACTCAGATTGTTGTGGTCTTCTTCTGCCCTGTTTTGCACTTAGGTTTTGGTTTGTGTGTTATTTCTTCTGCAGCTGGTTTGCCCCTCGGTCGAAAAGATTTTACTTTTAGATTTTAGGGACATTCCTGGGAGGGGACAGGGAACATACACTGACTCAGTCCTGGCTCGGACTCTGTGCTTCCATACAAATTAGCCCTTTAAGAAATTTGCTAAGCTTTCGGGACATTGTGACCATTCCTACTGAATGACGTCACTGATCAACACCAAAAGACATCCGCAGCAGCAGAGATGGACAATGGAAGCAGCAGGGCATGCAGCCATTATAGCGCTCCAAGAAAAGGGAGAAAAAACATGCGCAGTTGCAGTCGGCTTCCAGGAAAAACACCTCAGACATGAAAGCACATTTTCAGACAGTCATAATGTAATTAAACATTAGGTGGGTGGAAGGGGTGGGAATCCCCATTGATCAGAGAAAGACCAGCAGCTACTCATCAGCGTGACCTTCAACATCTGCTGCCAGGAACTGGGACGAGAGTTTCAGGGATGCGCGAGCACGATGAAAACTGGAAGTGCGTGCGAGCCCGACGTGTTAGAGCGGACATGCATGTGTGTGTCAGTGTAAGTGAGTCCATGAACTTTCTCTCAGTTCAGCTGCAGGTCCGTCGTCTCACATGTAACAACGTGACCTTCCACAAGCTGGATCTAGGAGTCCAAGGTCCCGTGTGAGGAAACGGGGAGAGAGGGGTAGAGCATCTGTCTACATGAACATCCCGATGTTTAAAATGAACGGCCTTCCAAGGCCGACAGGTGGGGGCCAAATTCAGATAACTGTTGTTTTGGTTTGGCTAGAGCCAGTTGTGTCTGCCTCAGTCTCTCAGAGATCTCTAGTCATTTCCAAACAGCTGAACATAGGGTCGGTTTCCACAGAGCTGTAAGCTTCCCCAAGTTCTGATCCATTTCGCAGACTGGTTCTGAAACAAAAGCCAGTTTGCTGGTCAGAGCATTCAGCTTCTGGTCATTCAACGCGAGAGTCTGAGTGCTCACAGCCCGACACATCATTCATTGCTAATTGCTCCCAACAGCTACTGAACCTTGTGATATGCCAGAAACCTGCTCGCTCCAGAACCAGAATCCCCGTTATCATGAGTCAAATGTTATCTTCTCCATCTTAAAACAGAGAGCAGCGACAGACACATAACCTTCCATTCCAGGAATCCATCATGTGTCCTACCGGGTGGGTTCCATCAAGGCAGGAGTCACCCCCTTCTTCCTTCTTAACGTGGAAAAATGTTATCGATGGCATTCAGAGACCAGCTTACCAGATCCATAATTAGAGAAATTCAGAGGAAAATGCGGAGAGGCACTCCAAGTAAGACAGCACAAAGAACAGCCAGGCAGACTGATAGGGATAGCTGTTAGGGTGAGTTTAAAACCTGAAATGGAAGAACAGTGGATGTGGCTATTTCCTGTGCTCGATCGTTCAGCCATTTTATTTATTATGTATTAAAAGCTAAGGAATGATACTTTTGATCTTGACATTCATCCTGGGACTTTTTCATTTCGGGATAACGTTGTGGTTCTTTGTGTTGCATGAAACTGTGCTTTCTGGTGTGGGTGGAGGATATAATCTATTATTGGAATCATTGTGGTGCAGAAATAAACAATTCTGATTTAAAAAATGTCCACAATCAGTTTTAATAACAGTAATTAATGCCACTGAAGAGATTAAGTGGTAGAAGAGCGACGGCAGCGATGAATGAAAGCTTTTCTTTTCCTTTCGTTCTGCTTCACCAACAACAGTTCCAGTGCTTAAACGGTAGAAGAACAAAGAGAGGAGGTGCAGCACCTGGACTGTTTATAAGGAGCACATTAGAAGGAGTTGTGATAGTTCATCTTCACCATGGAGTGAACAAGTCAGTGACTCGATGCAATCTGCTGGATTCCTCTATCCATTTTCAGCCGCTTATCCGAGGTTGGGTTGCGGGGGCAGCAGCCTAAGCAGGGAGGCCCAGATTTCCCTCTCTCCAGCCACTTGGGCCAGCTCCTCTGGGGGAATCCCAAGGCTTTCCCCGGCCAGCAGAGAGACATAGTCCGTCCAGCGTGTCCTGAGTCTTCCTTTAGATGTTCTCCTGGTTGGACGTGCCCAGAAAACCTCACCAGGGAGGCGCCAGGAGGCATCCTGTCTAGATGCCTGAGTCAAGTCAACTGGCTCCTTTTATGTGGAGGAGCAGTGAGTCTACTCCGAGCCCCTCCCGCATGACTGAGCTTCTCACCCTATCTCTGAGGGAGAGCCCAGCCACCCTGCGGTGAAAACTCATTTTGTCCGTTTGCAACCGTAATCTCATTATTTCGGTCACGACCTAAAGCTCGTGACTACAGGTGAGGGTAGGAACGTACACCAAATTCTGCGACCCGTCACAATCTGTGACCCCAGGGGGCAGTGTTGCGTTTTGTTGCGTCTGTACATCCTGAATTGGCATACAAGAAGAAACTACGTTAAAACCGTAAACCACGTAAGCTTTGAGGAAGTTGTGCGGCGCGGACCATGGATATTAGACAGAGCGTGTGTTAATGTTTATTGCAAACAAACGGGACAATAAATGCAGCGATCAGCAGGGCTTTGACAAGAAATGTTTGCTAACGCTAAACACTAGTTTTACAACATGCGAGGTCTGCAGGTAAAATGTTCAGAACTTCCATTTATTGAAATAAATTGTTGTGATCCACATCCTCAGTTTATTAGAAACCACTGCAGATTATCTGGTTGCTACGGTTATTTTTCCTGTCACTCCAATGCCGCTCATATGTACTGGTGGAGATAAAAGGGAAATAAAATGACACAAACATCACGAAATGCCTTTTGTTGTTATCATCTTTGGTGAAAATTAAAGACATCTGCATTATTACTGAGATGCAGAGGGCCACATTCTGTGATAGCCACTATCGTATTGTGTGACCACGGTCCGCGACGCACAACTTCCTCAAAGCTTACGTAGTTTACGGTTTTAACATAGCATCTTCTTCTTGTATGCCAACTCAGGGTGTACAGACGCAACAAAACGCAACACTAACCCCTGGGGTCACAAATTGTGATGGGTTGCAGAATTTGGTGTAGCACCTGTTAAGTCCAGACCTTTGCCTTCTGCCTCAGCTCTCTTCACCACAACGGGCTCCTTATATAGGTAACTTTAAAGTAATTTGCTTAATGAATTGAACTTGATTGGAACGTTTTCTTTGCAAAGTGCCTTGAGACGACTCTTGTCCCGATCTGGCGCTGTGTAAATAAACTGAATTGAACTGAACAGCTTAAACCTATTGGAGACACGTCCCGTGTGAGGTTGTGCCTCCAGGTAACTCTCTCCTGGTGAATCGATTCAGGCTAAAGCTCAAACTAACGCAAGTGCTTGTTAAGAGTGAGAGGATGTACAACTTTAACCATAACATTAAAAATAAAATTAAGACTTGAAATGAATATTTTATACATTCTTGGACATACCTGACTATCAAAATCAAACTATTTGAGATAGGCTAGCACTGTTAGCACATGCTAAGGAACTATAGTAACTAAACGCAGAAAAACACCTTAAATTTTATTCTACTTAAATAGTAAGTACATTTAGAAACTCCCGTTTTCATCCACTTTGAATATAAATTCGTGTTAGAAATCACACACACAAAAAAAAACTAACCTGAAACTGGTGGAAGACGATTAGACATTCGATTGCTAGCTTAGTTAGCTAGGCATTCTCACGACTCCAGTCACTGCTGCGCATGCGTATTGTCCGTACCGCCGGATCACACCGAGGAGGTATTCAGATTACTACTTTGACAGAGATGAGTCAGAAGAAGATAACGGCTAGTATTAGTCTTTTGGGCATTAATTAAGAAGACGCAAAGGCCCAGGATGCTTCTGTTGGATAAATACTATGAGAGAAATAAAGCTTTGATTTTTCAAATGGTGTAATCGCTTTTATAAAAATAGATCAATTTTGAGATTAAGGATTTTTCCGCCCTCTGGCGGACATAAATGTTACTACTGGCAGCGTTAAGAAACCTAAACAAGACCTGACGTATGTATATACTACGTAATATATAATAAAAAATTTATATGTCGATGGTATAAGACGCAACTCCTTAGCACTTCCTGTAGATTTCTTCAAAATAAAGCATAGCATAGTTGGTCTAAATAACGGTTGGTCCACTTACACAAACTACTTCACTACTAAAGGTAAATAAATCTTTTTAATTATCTGTGTTCAACAAGATTAAATCAGAGCGAAAGCAGGAGCTATTAGCAGCTACCTACAGCACTAACGGATCTTCAATTCAATTCAATTCAAAAATACTTTATTAATCCCAGAGTGGCAACAAGGCGAAACTAAATCCAGTTTTTGCTTATTCTTTTATTTATTATTATAAAAATAAATATATTTAGTTACAAATCTTCACCAGCTTAAGTTTATTTATGTCAGTTACAAAACTATCAGTTATTATTTCAAAAACCAATAAATACTCATCCAAATCTAATAAACACATGGATTGGTACCTTGTTTTTTTTTTGTAAATGTCCATCTTTTGTATTAAAACAGAAAACGCATTCATGTGTTTGGATTTCACTATGAATGTATGAACGTACTTAAATAAAATGCAAACCAAATATAAACACTTGGGTAAAAAGGCTTCTGAAAAACCGAGTAAATGTTTGATCAAAACACCTGATTTGATAAATGAAAATATATTTAACTGTAAGCTTTAAAGGGCAAAATTGAAGGTAAGACAAATGTATTAACTACATTTAAATTAACACATAAAAGTAGAAAAAGACAACACATTTCCACACCACTCTTATTCACATAAAGCTTTAGAAATCTTCCAGTAAAGTAAGTTAGAGCATGAATACACAGTATTTAAACCTGAACATATTATTAGCTAAATGTTGTTTCTGTGAGAACTGACCACCTGTATGCTACAAGCTTACTCCATTTAGAATTACATCATGTGACATCTCTGTTAAGTCGTGAAAATAAATGTAAAATGTAGACAATTGTTTTCTACATTTTATCAAATTTCTTCATTTATTATTTTTTTGGTTCATAATTTTTTACGCAGTAAGCTTTGATTACAGCATCCGTTCAGCCCTAATCATCTCACACCAAGAAGGTTGGCAGCTCTGCCATCATATTATTATTCCCAACAGGGTAAAAGCAAATAGTAGGCACAGTTGTTAGCACTGTTGCCTCGCAGCAAGGTTGCAAGTTCGAAACTCGGCTGTGGCCTTTCTGCGTGGAGTTGCACGTTCTCCCCGTGCATGCGTGGGTTTCCTCCGGTTTCCCCTACAGATCATAACATGCCCAACAAGGTAAAATTTGTACGTAGCTTTGGATAAAAGCGTCTGCCAAATAAATAAACATAAACAGGATTTCTCAGCTTCACTGAGGAATCAGTGTAGTTCCAGCTGGTTCCACCAGAGGGCGCCAACTCCTCTACTCATTCCTTTAGTGGTTGTTGATGGAGGATTTAAAGTTTATTCCATCTTTCCCGTCGTCCTAAACACAAACTCAGCAGGAAACGACAATTTCGTCTGGACGGTTTGTTTTGGCAGCCAACATTTTATTCACATATTAAACTGGATCAGTGTATCCACAGGTCAGAGGTGACCGTTAGATCGGTTTTACATCCCAACATAAACCCCATCTGGGCTGAATGAAAACACGTCTAAACATTTACAAATACATTCAAACACAACCAGGATTGTTGTTAGACAGCAAATAGCACCGCAGAGAGAAACAGGAGAACCGCCTCTGACCGGGAATAAAAAATCACTTTGAGGGACAAAAATGAAAAACGTATCCAAGTGAGTTTGGGGCCAACGTGCAAAGAGTTCAGAGCGAAGCTAGGCAGCCAGGGAACCTTCACACAAAACCCAAAATGTGATCAAAGGAATAAAAATGTTTCGGGTGTGAAACTTAACTTTATATTTATGGACGTAAACTCTTCCTCGTTTCTTTCAGAAGTCGACAGGATTTACATTTCAGAAATAAAGGACACTTGTCGCTCGGGTTCTATTTGTCTTTATTCTGAGGATATCGTAACTAAACCTCCGATGGAAACCAGAGACCAAATAAAAACACAACGGATGTAAACAGTGTTTTACTTTCTCATTAATGACCTATGAGAATCAGTGGCGTGTCCAGATCTTTTAAAATGGGGTGGCCCAGGTGAGGCACAATTTTGTGCATGGGTGGCACCAATGGTTATGCTTTTTTTGTTCTACCCCAAGCCTCTTGTGGACAATGAGAAGCCCATTTAAAGGTAAATTAGTGTGGTGGCACCTGGGGTGGCCAATCAGATTCCAAGGGTGGAATGTGCCACCCCAGGCCACTCCCTGGACACGCCCCTGATGAGAATGAAAAGAGGTTTTAGACTTCACAACAAGGACGTAGCATCCAGGACAATAAAACAAAGCATTGTGGGAAACGAAGGACAAAACAGCTGTGTAACATCTGGACCTCCATCCGCTGATCGTCACTTCCTGTTTATAATCATATTTGGCTTTTTTGTAAGCCGAGGAGCAGCAGGAAGAAGCTGACTGGACGGTCCAGTGTCCTGATGACATCATCAAGCCCTCAACTGATTGGCCAATGGCATATTAGGAAATTAGACTTTTACTCTGAAGCTTCTGCGCTGTCTTTTTGTGGATGTTGTGTTGCATCATGAGTGTTGTAGTCAGTCACCAGGCTAGGACGCTGGTCACCATGGTAACCAGAAGACAAACATCACATGTCCAGATGAGGAGCGATGCTCAGGAGTCAGAGTTTAGTAACAGAGTTAAGTTCTTTAACGTCTCTACAGACCGTTAGACTACATCTACACACACAGGTGGAGGCGTGGAGGTCTCCTCAGGAGGAGCAGCAGGAGCAAGAGGAGGATGAAGCAGCTTCCTGAGTTCACAGGAAACAAAAATACTACTGAGGTCTTCAGGATCGAGACCCAAACATAAACCCAAACCAGAACTACCTCCTTCTTCTGCAGGTGGTGCGCCCCCTGCTGGTCAAACTACAAGGGTTTAAAAACCCACTGATTAGATCTGATCAGGTTTTAGTTCCTTTAAAAATGTGAAAATTCACAGCTGTTTATTTTTCTCTATAAAACTTTTATACAAACCATTAAAATCTTTTCTGCTTTTACAGAAAGTGGTGTCATATTTACAGAATAATCAGCTGTTTGTTGTGTTGACAGAAACTCGTTGAGACAGTTTTTAGTTTAAAACTGCTTCATCACAACATGTTTAAATGATTTCACACAAAAACAAGAAAACGATGCAAAAAACTCCAGAAATGTAAGAAAGCAACCAGAGTTATGAACTCTGAACCTGGCTCTTCTTTCTGGAGCCACAAACAACCTGCGAGACAAAACTCAGGGACAAAGCTGCTTATTAAGAATCTTACAAACTCCTCCTCCTCTGGCTCCTCCCCCTGGAACCTCCCTACTCTGAGCAGCAGCAGGGAGAGGAAGAGGAGCAGGTGATGAAGAGGTGTGTTGAGCGTTTCCCCAAGCAGCAAGATAAGTGATGTCACAGGGATCGATGAAGCTGATTGGGCGGTGAATTAGGTGGCAGAGTGGTTTGTCAATCGGCTCCATCGCCCTGGTCCTTCAGGCTGCTGTGGGCGGAGTCTGGAGCCAGTCCCATCCAACTGGAGACCTAGCCTTTCCATCCATCCCAGATCGGACCTCTGAACACAAACAGAACCAGATTTGACTTCAGCAGGAAGTGTTTGGGTCAAACTGACAGCAGACGTGTGGAGGCGGCTGAAACATGCAGCAGCGGTTTGGTGGAAACGCGACGGTTAAAATTCTGGCAGAAGTCTGGATCTGAATCTCCTTTGGTGGTACCACACCGCCACCACCAAAGGTTGGGGGGTGGGGGGTGGGGGGGGGGGCAACAGGTGCAGAAAGGAAGCCCAGGTATTCCTCTCCTTCTGGAGGATCCCAAACTGTTCCCAGGTCAGAGAGGCCAGGATCCCTCCAGTGAGGTCTGACGGGAGTGGGATGTGCACGAGGCCCCTCAGCTGATCCCAGGATCATCACTGGGCCGTAGGAGAGGTCTGGAACGTCGAACATCTAAAGTTAAAGTCCCACTAGTTGACCCACCCCTTGGGGAAGCGGGGAGCTGCAGACACGGCTGCACTCTGGAACCATTAACCCTTAATGCTGACTGACTGTGGATTTGAACCCCCGATCTGCCTGTCTCGGGGGGGGGCAGTCATACCAGAAAGCCACTGAGCTGGGTGTAAAAACATCTGGAGACGCGAGCGAGGGAGGGAGAATGAAAGTGTCTTCTAGACGTTTATGGATGTGATGTTTGTTAGTCGGAAGGAGAAACGTTCAGGCAGGAGAACATGGAGGAGGACTCACAGGCTTCGAGACGATGATGGTTTCTTGACTTTTGGCCACTTCCTTCTCTCAAACAGCCTGATGCAACAAACACGCACCAAGTTACACACACACACACACACACACACACACACACACACACACACACACACACACACACGCACACACACGCACAGCAGCTCTCAGTTTTGTCAGGATGTCATGCAGCATTCAGAGGAGGAATGAACTCTAGAGTGTGTGTGTGTGTGTGTGTGTGTGTGTGTGTGTGTGTGTGTGTGTACCTGTAGTCATCGAAGATGCCATGTCCCCGCCCTCCTGCTGAAAAGACAACCTGATTGGTTAGGGTGTAGGGTTGTCACGGTGTGAAAGTTTAACCTCACGGTTTTCGGTATTACCGCAGTATTTTTTTTAAACGTGTTACATTTTCAGACAATTAAATAAACCCTGTATATCAGGAAAATATTGTCCTCAGTTTGTGTCTAAATTTAGCCTAAAATGTGTTATTTTGTAATTATGTTGTTTATTTGTTTACATTTTTTCCCCTTTAGTCTTTAAAATACCAATATTTGCCCATAACTTCTTATTTTATGTCTGTTTGATGTCATCATTTTAAAATATTAGATCAGATGATACTCAGTACTCAAGTAGCCTTCTAATCAGATACTTTTTTACCCTTACTTGAGTAATAAACCCTATAGAGCTCCGGGAGTTGACGTCACTTCTCCCGGCATGCAACAGTTCAAATCGAAACGGCGCCATATTGGCAGGCAGAAGCCGGCAGCTGGACTATTTGTTATTGTCAGAAAACTCAATCAAACGGGAAATATGGTAGATTCCTGTTGTGCCCCAGGATGCAGAACAGACGCGGACGACATAAGGAATGAGCCATCTACAGGATTCCCCAAGATCCGGAGCGCCGCAAACGTTGGATCATTGTAATAAAACGCGCTAGTGACCGGGCGAAAATGAAGCTGTGGGACCCAGAGAGTAAAGGTTTTCACTTATGCAGCGACCGCTTCATATCAGGTACTTAAACCAACGTTTCCTCAACTGTATATGGTCTTCGTCTTCGTCTTCGTCTTCCTCCGCTTATCCGGGTCCGGGTCGCGGGGGCAGCATCCCAATTAGGGAGCTCCAGGCCGTCCTCTCCCCGGCCTTGTCCACCAGCTCCTCCGGCAGGACCCCAAGGCGTTCCCGGACCAGATTGGAGATGTAACCTCTCCACCGTGTCCTGGGTCGACCCGGGGGCCTTCTGCCGGCAGGACATGCCCGAAACACCTCCCCGGGGAGGCGTCCAGGAGGCATCCTGACCAGATGCCCAAACCACCTCAACTGGCTCCTTTCGATCCGGAGGAGCAGCGGTTCTACTCCGAGTCCCTCCCGAATGTCCGAGCTCCTCACCCTATCTCTAAGGCTGAGCCCGGCCACCCTACGGAGGAAACTCATTTCGGCCGCTTGTATCCGCGATCTCGTTCTTTCGGTCATTACCCAAAGCTCATGACCATAGGTGAGGATTGGGACGTAGATCGACCGGTAAATCGAGAGCCTGGCTTTCTGGCTCAGCTCCCTCTTCACCACGACAGATCGGCTCAGCGTCCGCATCACTGCAGACGCCGAACCAATCCGCCTGTCGATCTCCCGATCCCTCCTACCCTCACTCGTGAACAAGACCCCGAGATACTTAAACTCCTCCACTTGAGGTAGGACCTCTCCCCCGACCCGGAGGTGGCAAGCCACCCTTTTCCGGTCGAGAACCATGGTCTCAGATTTGGAGGTGCTGATCCTCATCCCAGCCGCTTCACATTCGGCCGCGAACCTACCCAGCAAGAGCTGAAGGTCAGAGCTGTATATGGTATTTATTTTAAATGCTTTTATTATGATTCTTAGTGGGCTTCCTAAACTTATTTTGGCATGGCTTTTTCTGTCTTATTACTCATAGCAGCAAGTAAACGTCACGTAAAACGTTGCCTCGTGAGTTCTGCGTGCTGCCGTTTACGTGTTTTATGATCACAGCAATTAACCGGCTAAGCTGTATTTCATTTTTAAGCAATAGTTGATCAATTGTCAGATCACACATAAAAAGCACTTTGGATTGCTATTATCTGTCTCACCGAGACTTCTTACGTGTAAATCTGTTATTTGTCCGTCCATCCATCCATTTTCCTCCGCGTATCCGGAGTCGGGTTGCGGGGGCAGTAGCGTGACTTCCCTCTCCCCAGCCGCTGGAGCCAGCTCCTCCGGGTAAATCCCAAGGGGTTCCCCGGTCAGGTCCGGTGTTGTGCCGGTAAGAAGTCCGCTACGACAGCTTCTGGCGTTTTTAAAAAGTATCCCAGGGCCACGGTAAGGGTCGGAGATGTTTAGTCTATTTAATTTCTGACTATATAAAACGATTTCTTCTGTTTTAAAGTGTGAAGTAAACTCCGACGAAGTAAAATCCAAGCGGATCCCGTTCATGTTCATGGTTACATCCGTGTTTGTTTACCTTTTTTGCATGCCAAAATGGCGTCCACTAACTGAGAGTCACGTGGGGTCCGGAGCTCTATATCAGGAAAATATCGTCCTCGGTTTGTGTTCCAGTGAGCTTTGCAGATGTGGGAAAATGTCATCAGGCAGTAATCATTGATGTATGTATGTGATGTTTATTAGACATGGACGAACCAGATGCATTGTTTAGTGTGTTAGCACACGTGCTAATGTGCAACACTTGTCCGTAAAACTTTCTAAAAAGTGGAGTACATTTAAATAAAATACAAAGAGATCAACAATGAATCAAACAGAAAACAGATTAAAATTGCAAACAATTTTCAATAAAAAAGAATAAAAAGAATATAACAAGGCAATTTGAGCAGCAATGTAAGAGTTTAAAACTATTCATGTAGACATTGTTGTTTAGACTTTAACAATTTTGTGAGTTTTTGTTAAAAACTTTACTGTCAGTTTGTAGTTTTAGGTCAGCAGGTAGACCGTTCCAAAGTTTGGCCCCCTTTACAGAAGTCTTGCACCGCGGGACGAGACCATCGCCGCAGGTGGAGGCTCGAGTGATCGTTCTATGAGAGCTCTGACGTCTGACGGCCACAATAGAGAACAGTTTAGACAATTGAAAAAGAATCTTTAAGTGCTGAAATTAATAAAATTTTTGAAAGTGAGAAGATTATGTTTCCTTAAAATGCGACAATGATGCCATTTCAATGGTTTCTGGTCCATTATTGTTACTGCTTGCTTGTATATTAAGACTATAGGTTTTAGAGTGGTGGATGAAGCCTGTGACCATGATGTAATGCATATGATAAGCGGGGAAAGATCAGTGCATGCGTGTGCAGTTCAGCAGTTTGGTGTGACAGGTTCTTTCTGATGAAAGGGAAGAAGTTTAAATTTGTTTTAACCTTTTTACAGACGTGCTCAACCTGACTGTCAGATTTTAGGTGTTTGTTTAGGATGATCCCAAGGTACTTCACATCACTCCTTACTTCAATGATTTCCTCTTTAATCCTAACCTGAAATAGTTCCTGATCAGGCCTGTTTCTCATGGAGAAGCATAGGGACACAGTTTTTTATTAACATAAAGAGTTAGCTGGGATGACTCTAGCCATTCTGAGATGTCTGATAAAGCCTGCGTCAGGCACTCTCCTGCCAGGCCAGGTGTTGTTGTGGACACATAAATGACGGTGTCATCAGCATACATCTGGCAGTTGACGCCTGAGCAGCTCATCGGAAGGTCACTAATGTACATTGTAAACAGCAATGGACCAAGCACGGATCCTTGTGGTACACCCATGTTGTTTGCAAGCAAACTTGACTTGACCTCATTAACCCTAACACACTGCTGTCTACCCTCCAGGTATGAACTGAACCATTCATAATTATTCTCGGAGAGAGACCAACTCTTATCTGCCCCTGGGAGCCCCGTAATGCATAGCGTCATTTCAACATGGCGGTGTCCGCGACACGGTTTATATGCAGGTAGTGGCGCTGCGGCTGCTTTATATAGCGACTCGGTGCGTTCTCCCTCAACCCAAATCCTCGGATCACGCATTTTAGCTAAAACGCTAACGTTAGCTTGCCTTGCGTTGACTGTAGAGTTGTGGGTGATGGTCACGCAGATGTGTCATGAGATTTGAAGCGTTGCTGCCTTTCACAGACACTTTTTCTGCACGTGCTGCAAACAGGATAGCCGTCTTCTATCAACTGTCCCTCGGCATTCTTCAGATATCCAAAAGATGCCCGTACTTCCCACTTTGTCTTCTTTGAGGGATAATAAATGTCCTGAGCGCTGCCGTCTCCTCCTTTGGCCATTATTTCAGCTTTAGCTTCAAGAAAGTTTTGGTTGTAAACAACAAAGTGCGCATGTGCCACCGGCAACTTCAGCAGATGATACGGTGGCTGGTAAGGGTCACCGCGCCTACACCGCAGCCACACTAACCCACCGAGATAATATATGTTTTAAAAAACAAGACGGTTATTATTATTGTTAACTTTTTTACCGGGGTCTACCGCTACACCGGTTACCGTGACAACCCTATTAGAGAGCAGCGGTAACAGTTTAATATGCTGACAACATCAAGTGTACAGAGTTGAGAGGTGGCCTGGTGCCACAAGTGAGTCAGAGTGAACAGGTGTGAGAGCGGAAGCAGCTGCTGCAGCATGAACGTCACCAAACATGGAGACCTTAGCTAGCTGATGCAGAGAGACGCTAACAGCCATGTTTTCCTGTTTTAACACTTTTCACTGTAGATAACCGATGTGCTTGTGTGTGTGTGTGTGTGTGTGTGTGTGTGTTACCTAGCTCCACTGAGCGCGTGCGAGGATTGCACTGCTTGTGTCCCCTGCAGCCTCTGAGCTCCATCAGCTGGACGTGGAGCTGGTTTAGAACTGTCCGATCCAAAGAGCTGACGGCGTTTATCAGCTGGCGATGCAGAGAAAGGTCGGATAAGTAGTTCAGTGTGTGTGTGTGTGTGTGTGTGTGTGTTTAGGCGTACCTGATATGGGTCAGTGCTGAGGTCGAAGTACTCCAGGAAGCCAGTGGCAAACTCACAGAACAAGAAGTTGTGGGTCTCGTTGATCGTCCTCAGACACCAGTATGTGTTGTTGTTGGCACTGGTGCAGGCGCAGAACGAGCCCACTAGTACACACACACACACACACACACACACACACACACACACACACACACACACACACACACACACACACACACACACACACACACACATTAGAACCCTAATCTGAGATTAAATTAGGTTTAATTTTTGGTCCGGACGCACAAACGAATCTGTTTCTGGATCAGATTATGTTGTGTGCTGGGATCTAGGAGTGTTCAAATGTGTTCAAATGTGTTTCTGTGTGTGTGTGTGTGTGTGTGTGTGTGTGTGCGTGTGTGTGTGTGTGTGTGTGTGTGTGTGTGTGTGTGTGTGTGTGTGTGTGTGCGTGCGTTTTGGGTCGTACGGGTCCAGAAGGGCGGAGTGTGCCAGTGCTGGTTGTCGTGTGTGAAGCAGGTGAGTCCTGGCATCGAACATGTGTCGTTATTTTTGATCCTCTTGATCATCTTCCTCATCTTCTTCCTCCTCTTTTGCTCCTTCTGAAGCCACGCCTTCTTCGCCTGAGCCCCGCCTTTCCTGCTCAAACACACAGTCAGGTGAGTGCAAAGGTGCCAGGTAAGTGATGAAGACCAGCTTCTGTCTCACCTGAAGGGATGAAGGCCTCCTCCTCCTCCTCCTCCTCTGAACTTGAGCTTCTTCCTCAGCTTGGCTTTGTACCTGCACACATCACATGACATCAGCTAGGAGCCAATCAGCTCTCAGGTGTCATGCTGCCATTGCTCACAGAAACTTGTTGCAGTCACACTCCAGGGGGCGGGACTCCTTTAGATGACCTCTGACTTCTTTCAGGTTCTTTATCTTTGTCTGTAGAGTCTCAATCTGGCAAGAAGACAAACCGAACCAGGTCAGAATTAAGTTCTGCTTCAACCGATGTACCCATCCATCCATCCCTCCATCTATCATCCCTCCATCCATCCATCATCAACCTCTACCCATCCCTCCCTCCCTCCCTCCATCCATCCATCATCCCTCCATCCATCCATCCATCCATCCATCATCAACCTCTACCCATCCCTCCCTCCCTCCATCCATCCATCATCCCTCCATCCATCCATCCCTCCATCTATCATCCCTCCATCCATCCATCATCAACCTCTACCCATCCCTCCCTCCCTCCATCCATCCATCCATCCCTCCATCCATCCATCCCTCCATCTATCATCCCTCCATCCATCCATCATCAACCTCTACCCATCCCTCCCTCCCTCCCTCCATCCATCCATCATCCCTCCATCCATCCATCCATCCATCCATCATCAACCTCTACCCATCCCTCCCTCCCTCCATCCATCCATCATCCCTCCATCCATCCATCCATCATCCCTCCATCCATCCATCCATCATCAACCTCTACCCATCCATCCATCCATCCATCCATTCATCATCCATCCATCCATCCATCATCATCATCCTCAACCCATCCATCCATCCATCCATTCATCATCATCATCCTCTACCCATCCATCCATCCATCCATCCATCATCATCCTCTACCCATCCCTCCATCCATCCATCCATCATCATCATCATCCTCTACCCATCCATCCATCCATCCATCATCATCCTCTACCCATCCATCCATCCATCATCATCCATCCATCCATCCATCCATTCATCATCATCCATCCATCCATCCATCATCATCATCATCCTCTACCCATCCATCCATCCATCATCATCCATCCATCCATCCATTCATCATCATCATCCTCTACCCATCCATCCATCCATCCATCATCATCATCATCCTCTTCCCATCCATCCATCCATCCATCATCATCATCCTCTTCCCATCCATCCATCCATCCATCCATCCATCCATCCATCCATCATCATCCTCTACCCATCCATCCATCCATCCATTCATCATCATCCTCTACCCATCCATCCATCCATCCATCCATCCATCCATCCATCCATTCATCATCATCATCCTCTACCCATCCATCCATCCATCCATCCATCATCATCCTCTACCCATCCATCCATCCATCCATCCATCCATCCATCCATCCATCCATCCATCCATCATCCATCCATCCATCATCATCATCCTCTACCCATCCATCCATCCATCCATCCATCCATCCATCATCCATCCATCCATCCATCCATCCATCATCCATCCATCCATCCATCCATCATCATCATCCTCTACCCATCTATCCATCCATCCATCCATCCATCCATTCATCATCATCATCCTCTACCCATCCATCCATCCATCCATCCATCCATCATCATCCTCTACCCATCTATCCATCCATCCATTCATCATCCATCCATCCATCATCATCCTCTACCCATCTATCCATCCATCCATCCATCCATCCATTCATCATCATCATCCTCTACCCATCCATCCATCCATTCATCATCCATCCATCCATCCATCATCATCCTCTACCCATCTATCCATCCATTCATCCATTCATCCATCCATCATCATCATCCTCTACCCATCCATCCATCCATCCATCCATCATCATCCTCTACCCATCCATCCATCCATCCATCCATCCATCCATCCATCCATCCATCCATTCATCAACCATCCATCCATCATCATCCTCTACCCATCCATCCATCCATCCATCCATCCATTCATCCATCCATCATCATCATCCTCTACCCATCCATCCATCCATCCATCCATCATCATCCTCTACCCATCCATCCATCCATCCATCCATCCATCCATCCATTCATCAACCATCCATCCATCCATCCATCCATCCATCATCATCCTCTACCCATCTATCCATCCATCCATCCATCCATCCATTCATCATCATCATCCTCTACCCATCCATCCATCCATCATCATCATCCTCTACCCATCCATCCATCCATCCATCATCATCCTCTACCCATCCATCCATCCATCCATTCATCATCCATCCATCCATCCATCCATCCATCATCATCATCCTCTACCCATCCATCCATCCATCATCATCATCCTCTACCCATCCATCCATCCATCATCATCATCCTCTACCCATCCCTCCATCCATCCACCCATCATCATCCTCTACCCATCCCTCCATCATCCCTCCATCCATCCATCCCATCATCCCTCCATCCATCATCATCATCCTCTTCCCATCCATCCATCCATCATCATCATCCTCTTCCCATCCATCCATCCATCCATCATCATCATCCTCTTCCCATCCATCCATCCATCCATCCATCCATCCATCATCATCATCATCCTCATCCTCCATCCATCCATCCATCCTCATCATCATCATCATCATCATCATCATCATCCTCATCCTCCATCCATCCATCCATCCATCCATCATCCTCTACCCATCCATCCATCCATCCCTCCCTCCATCCATCATCATCATCCTCTACCCATCCATCCATCCATCCATCCCTCCATCCATCATCATCATCCTCTACCCATCCATCCATCCATCCATCCCTCCATCCATCATCATCATCCTCTACCCATCCATCCATCCATCCATCCCTCCATCATCCCTCCATCCATCCTCATCATCCTCTACCCATCCATCCATCCATCCATCCATCCATCCATCCATCCATCCTGGACGTTCTCCTGATCCTCTAGAAACAAATTCACCTTAGTAATAAAAACTAACTCAGATCAAACCAAACAGGGATTTCACTGAACTCAGATTCCAGATGACTTCTGATGACATGAAGCCAAAACATGTTTCATTTCACACATTTGCTGTAGTAACTAACAGTTGTCAGCAGGTGGTGCCTCCGTTCCGCTCAGAGATCTGCTGGTTCTGATTTGATCACATTACAGTTTTAACATTTAGACTTTAGGAGTCAGTTTGCATCACCTGGTTCCTCCTGAGCAGCAACCAGGTGTTTCTGGTGTTACCTCGTGGTCAATGTGCAGCTTGTGGTCCTTCCAGGCCTGCAGCGAGCGGTAAACTCCGGTGTCGCACCTCACGCTGGCGTTGGATAAGATAGAGCACCTGCAGGGAAACCCTCGGGTCACACAGAGTAATAAATGCAGCGGTGTGTCGACGCATCCAGCTGACATTTACTTTCTAATCACTCACACCGTTCTCCTCCAACGACTCGTTCAATAATTCAGCGTGAGCTGCAGCCGCGGCTGAGTCACGGCGAGGAAGAGGAGTTTCTCCTGCTGCAGATTTAAGGAGCTGCTGATCCATGAAACAGTCTGAAGCGTTTGTTTTACTCTGACATAATAAGACTTGCATTTTAAACATCTCATATTGATTTAATCTGTTTGTCATTTAAACGTTTAGTCTTTATTTTTACATGATTTCTAAAAATCAGTTTGAGATTTACTTATTTTTTTATGTTCTTGAAAATGAAAATATTTTATTTGACTTTTCACTCTTTCATTACTAAGAATTTCTTTTAGATCAATTTTAAATAAAAGTTTAAATCATGAATTTCATAACTAAAAACCTCCCGTTTAGAAATAAATGCATCATATCAGATCTGAACATAACAACCAAATAATAAACAGGTTATTCTATCATATAATGCTATAAATAAAACAGGCCTTTACCCTATGCAGATCCTCCACCAGGGGGCAGAAGACAGGTCCTGATGAAGGTGCTAATCCTGATGCTCCTCTAGAGGCTTTAAGGTGGTTTGATGAGGAATTGTGATGATAGCCTAGGAGTTTAAACTGCGGGTTCCTGTCGTTTACTAACGAAGTTCAACACGTGGCGGCCCGACTGCTTCCATCCAGGGGCGCCTCCAGAAAATTTTGATGGGGTGGCCAGATAGGGCCAAAGAAATTTTTGGGGTGGCACCAAATTGGTCCTTGTGGTGACTCTGGGAGAGTTTAGTCTGTGGCGACGTGCTGCATTGCACCGTTATTTGTTTTAATTACAATAACAGTGGGTATCCAAAACATTTAACTCCAATTTTACAAACGCAAACATTTTAGAAAAATACATTTCAGTTATTTAAATTGTTTTCCCAAATTTTATTTTTTAGGTTTATTCACCTGTTGCTGTGTTCACAAAATAAAAATAAAAACTATGGAGATAAAAACTTTTTTAAAATTTGAGCAGCAGAAACGTGTTTTTTTTATTCTGATTATTTCTTTACTCGTTAATTATAATATTTTTATTTTGTTTTACAGTTATGTCTTGAATAAACAAGATTAATATACGGTTTGACTGAACATTAATATGATTTGTTAACAATGGCTTTTCCTAGGGGGAGGGGGGGCGTTTTCTAGAGGTGGCCATGGCCACCCCTGGCCACCCCTTGGGGGCGCCCTTGCTTCCATCTGAAAACGTTCTGATTAAAAACGTCCTCCGCTCACCTGTGCGTCACTTTGATGGAGGTGGATGGGGCTGACGTAACAGAGATGTCTCCCATCCCACTGAACTCCTCCTCAGGCTCGTCTCCTATTGACTGTCCATGATGGGCGCCGCCCCCCAGGCTGTGGTTGCCAGGGGTAACTATTCACGGTGGACAGAGAGCGGCTGAAGCGGTTTCTGGAGAAACTCTTCAGGGTTTTAAACTCTGGTGCACAAAAACAGGAAACATGAAGTTTGACACGAGTAAAGAGTTGTTCTAGGTCCTGGAGGGGGCGGGGTCAACACACAGCCCGGTCTCCCAACCCGAAGGGGGCAGCATCACATCTTAGCTGACCCTCAGTCAGAGGTCGCCATCAGTCCTACAGCAGTGAAAGAAACAGCAGGAGGCCAAGGTTCACCTGTATAAGGAGAGTTACATCATCGCTCTGAATGAGGTTCCTGCTGGAAGCGATAGAGCTCCAGAGAGAGAGAGAGAGAGAGAGAGAGAGAGAGAGAGAGAGAGAGAGAGAGAG